CTTCAAAGAATGGAGTGAGTACTGGAGTTATTGTGTTGATAAAGTGTCCATTAAAGACAAAAGAAGACCAGGTGCAGTGGCTCACTCCTGTAATACCATCATTTTGGGAGGCCGAGGCAGATAGATCTGAGGTCAAAAGTTTGAGATCAGCCTGGCCAACATGATGAAACCCTGCCGCTACTAAAAAATGTTTAAAAATTAGCCAGGTGTGTGCTGGGTGCCTGTAATCCCATCTACTTGGGAGGCTGAGGCAGGAGAATTCCTTGAAGGCAAGAGGCAGAGGTTGCAGTGAGCCAAGATCATGCCATTGCACTCCAGCCTGGGCAACAGAGCGAGACTCCATCTCAAAAAAAATTAAAAAGACGAAATAACAAGCAAAGACTGAATTACGCATCATTGTTGTGATAAGTATGGTGGAGATCTGTTTTGTTTTATGTTCCTACCCCTCACAGAGCTTATAATCTATCAGTGAAACCAGAATTCATGCTGATGAAAACTTCAGAGCCCATACTGGGCAGTGTAGAATTAACTGACAAAGGAGTGATTCAGTGAAGGTTACCAGGGATGAGAAGACAAAGAAAGCACAATGGTTGGAGCCTCTTCCTGTAAAAGCTAAGAACTGAGGGCAGTCTCAAAGAATAGATGGGATTCCCTAAGTTTGAGAGAGGTCTGAGGAGAGAGGGACTGCAAGCAGGGAGATGCCAAATTAGGAGCAAATCATGGCAGTAGGGAAATACCCCTCATGGACCAAAAACAGGAAGGAGGTGGGCCAAACCTTGAAAGCCCTGGATACATGAGTGTGATGTTGACTGAAGACCAGCCCAGAGCTGGTGAACAGGGCAGCATGAATTCTCCCATATACAGTCTTGCATCTCTTAACAACGGGGGTACATTCTAAGAAATCTCTCCTTAGGCACTCTCCTTGTTATGGGAACATCCTAGTGTGTACTCACACAAGCCTACATGGTGTAGCCTACTACACACCTAGGCTATATGGTATAGCCTATGGCTCCCGAGCTACAAACCCATACAGCATGTTACTGTACAGAATATTGTAAATACATAGTAACACCATGGTAAGTATTTGTGTATTTCAACATAGAAAAGACACAGTAAAAATACAGTGCATTATAATGTCATGGGACCACCATCCTACGTGCAGTTCATCATTGGCTGAGTGTCATTATGCAGCCCATGACTAGATATCTCATTATACCTTCTCCTTTTACTTTTTTCTTTTAATACTGTTTATGAATGTAGGGGTTAGTGGGTGCAAATATAGAAAAAGGCTTACATTTAGAGTAGTAGTTCAGGTCAAACAAAAATAATTCATCAGAGCCCTATCTTCTAGTCTTCTCCAAAGAAGAAAGAATCCTGAACTAAAATATTAGTCCCAGCACGGTGCAGCATCACTGGATTGTGTAAATCAGAGACCGCCTATTTTACTCTCTCCTCCCTGGCAGGAGAAGCACAGAGCTCAGAGAGAGGTTAGTCTAGCTTAATTCCCTAATCAATTCAGGAAATAAGTCTTGAACATCACTGACAGATAACTATCTAGTCTTGATTTCAGTACTTCAACTGTCAGGATATTCACTATCCTATCAATAATAAATAATGAATAACAATTCAACCTCTTTGAATTCTGAATCACTTAGGATTTTCTTTGACTGAAAGTTTAAAAAAAAAATAACTGTAGCTAGGCCGGGCACGGTGGCTCATGCCTATAATCCCAGCACTTTGGGAGGCTGAGGTGGGCAGATCATGAGGTCGAGAGATTGAGACCATCCTGGCTAAACATGGTGAAACCCTGTCTCTACTAAAAATATAAAAATTAGCTGGGCGTGGTGGCACGTGCTTGTAGTCCCAGCTACTCGGGAGGCTGAGGCAGGAGAATCTGCTTGAACTCCAGAGGCAGAGGTTGCAGTGAGCTGAGGTCGCACCACTGCACTCCAGCCTGGCAACAGAGCAAGACTCTGTCTCAAAAAATAAAAATTATAAAAATAACTGTAGCTGAACAAGGTAAAAATTTATTTTATGTAAATTCTAGGTACAAGCAGTCATAGCAGTGGTATGACATGCTATGGCCTGAGAGACTCGGGTTCCCTATATTTTTCTGCTCCTTTGTGTGGCTTCTCCAGAGTTAGCTTATGTCCCAAAATGGCTGCTGAAGCTCCAGCCCTTATGTCCTAAGCTCATTAAAAAGGAAAGAGGAAATGGGGCAGAAGAACTTGCTTCTTCCCTTTAAGGACACTGCCTGGAAGTTGCATTCACCAGTTCTACTGACATCTCATTGGTCAAGAAGACACTTTTACCTGCAAGGGAAGCTGGTAAATGCAATTCATGTTTCAGATAGCCATGTGCCCACAATAAACATCATGAGGAATGCGCTGGTCATGGTGGCTCACACGTGTAATCACAGCACTTTGGGAGGCGGAGGCAGGTGAATCACAACGTCAGGAGTTCAAGACTGGCCTGATCATCCTGGTGAAACCCCATCTCTACTAAAAATACAAAAAATTAGCCAGGCATGGTCATGGGTGCCTGTAATCTCAGCTTCTTGGGAGGCTGAGACAGGAGAATCACTTGAACCCAGGAGACAGAGGTTGCAGTAAGCCAAGATCGTGTCACTGCACTCCAGCCTGGGAGACAGTATGAGACTTTGTCTCTAAATAAATAAATAGTAAAAACCATTAATTTTTTACAAAGAAGGAGAAAGTAGATATCATGTTTCTATGACAAAGTCTAAGCCTCCTCCTGACAGCAGTTAAAGTAGATTTGGCTTTAAAAAAAAAAAAAAAAAAAAAAACAGTTTTGGTTTTTAATCATCCCTGGTAGGACTGATCTCACCAAAATGATAGGAAGAAGATGCTCATCTGAGGAGTGGCTGCTACCAACAATGTCCACGGCAGCGGCAGAATTAGCTGCCCCTCCCAGAGGCCTTCAGTTTACTCAAAGTCAGAAACTTTGAGAGCTGCAGCCCTGCTTTTGAAGTCATTCTTTTGGAGCTGCCCAACAATCCCTCTCAGACTACTAACCAAAGCCCCAGACGTGCCACCCCCTCTCACACCCTGCTGTGGTATAGGTGAACTCAGGTGTCACTGTCCTAGCCTTGAGCCCTAGGAGACACTGGCTGCATCCACTTGGTTCCCAGCAAGGGAGATGGTGTGTTTCTATCGGGAGTCTGTTGTCCATAAGAAGGTCTTCCTAAGACTCAGTCAAAACCTGCTCTGTCAAAAATTCCACTGTTTAGGCACTTCTGTCTGGCATCCTAGGCTCCACATCTAGTACATAAAATCACCTACTGGCCGGGCACAGTGGCTCACACCTGTAATCCCAGCACTTTGGGAGGCTGCAGTGGGTCGATCATGAGGTTAGGGGATTGAGACCATCCTGGCCAACATGGTGAAACCCTGTCTCTACTAAAAATGCAAAAAATAAATTAGCTGGGTATGGTGGTGCATGCCTGTAATCCCAGCTACTCAGGAGGCTGAGGCAGGAGAATTTCTTGAACCCAGGAGGTGCAGATTTTAGTGAGCCGAGATCACACCACTGCACTCCAGCCTGGGCGACAGTGCGAGACTCCATCTCAGAACAATCACCTACCAGGTTTTTCACCAAAAATAAAAATTGCTAAGAGTTAACACTGCAGCATGTTATTAAGATTACAAAAAACAACCGGTTTCACATGCAAGTCCTGTGAGGAAGTGAAATGTGCTTTTAGTAAAAGATTTTAAGAAGGCTTGGGGATGTACATTTTTGCCTAGTTTAGAGGGCTAAAGGGTTGTTTTAAATTAGATAGGATAAACCTAAAGGGTTTGAGCAAGTTTTGGAAGGTTTGTGAAAAATTTATTGTAAAAGAGATTCTGTGTATGACCATATTGGCTAAATTGAAAGTGCTATTATTCAGTTTTTTCCATGCTTTTGGAATAAAGCACAACAGGTTTTTCATAGAGCATGGATCTGCTCTTTAACAAGAATTTGTAAAGAGTTATAAAAGGTTTATGAGAAACCTTATGGTCAAACTAATTAAGACTGGATAGATTTGTCTATAAAGTTTTATTAAAAATTGGGGTTGAAGCTGGGCACACTGGCTTATGCCTATAATCCCAGCACTTTGGGAGGCCAAGGCAGGTGGATCACCTGAGATCAGGAGTTCAAGACCATCCTGGCCAACCTGGTAAAACACTGTCTCTACTAAAAAGACCAAAAAAATTAGCTGGGTATGGTGGCACATGCCTGTAATCCCAGCTACTCGGGAGGCTGAGGCAGGAGAATTGCCTGAACCCAGGAGGCAGAGGTTGCGGTGAGCCAAGACCGCGCCATTGCACTCCAGCCTGGGTAACAAGAGCAAAACTCTGTCTCAAAAAAAAAAAAAATAAATACATCTTCATTCTAGAAAATATGTATCAGCAACAACAAAAATCACCAAATAGCCCAATGCCTGGGAATGAAAACTATTAGTATTTTGATTTATATTTCTCTTAGTTTTTCTTCTGCATATATGTGTGTGTATGTGTGTATATATATATATATTTTTTTAATATACATTTTTCATCAGAATGAGATGCAATTTTAAAAACTACTTTTTATGCTTAACAAAACTTCATGGGCGTCTTTCCAAGACAGTATACCTGAATATGCCATGTTATTTTTTAAAGTTATTTTGTAATTCAACCAAAATAGAAAAACAGGAAAGTATACAAGTCCTAAGTATTCTGTGTGATGAAATTTCACTAATTGGACGCATCTGTCTTACCAAGATGCAGATCAGGAAATTGAACATGACCAAAACCTCAGAAGTCTCCCTTGTGTCTCCTCCTCATCACTACTCCCTGCAAAGATTATCGTAGACGTTTTTTAACTACCATAAATGGAATCACACTGCAGCTATTCTTTTATATCTGTCTTCTTTCAGCACATCATTTTAATGACTGCATCCTATGCCTTTATATTTCTGTAATATAATTCATTCAGTTTATACCTATTGTTGTATTTTCATGATACATTATTTTTTTCCTTTTTTTTTTTTTTTGCTTTCATTAAAACTTCTGTAATGAGGTCTCTGTCTCGGCTGAGGCAGCCATCTTGCTCTTGCCACGTGCTAGTGTTGGAGGACCCTCTCTGCTTCAGATTTACCAACAGCATGAATCAGGAAAAGTTAGCCAAACTTCAGGCTCAGGTCCGGATAAGGGGCAAGGGTGCAGCTCGAGGAAAGAAGGTGGTGGTATATAGAACAACTACAGCTGATAACAATAAGCATCAGAGTTCTATGAAAAAACTAGCTGTGAATAATAGAACTGGTATTGAAGAGGTGAACATGATTAAAGATGATGGGACAGTTACTCATTTCAACAATCCCAAAGGTCAAGCTTCCCTTTTTGCTAACACCTTTGCAATTACTGGTCATGCAGAAGCCAAACCAGTCACAGAAATGCTTCCTGGAATATTAAGTCAGCTTGGTGCTAACAGCTTAACAAGTCTTAGGAAGTTAGCTGAACAGTTCCCACGGCAAGTCTTAGACAGTAAAGCACCAAAACCGGAAGACACCGATGAGGAGGAGGATGATGTTCCAGATCTTGTAGAAAATGTTGATGAGGCATCAAAGATGAAGCTAACTAAAGTTTTGGTTTTTGGAAGCTGGCATGGACTAGATTTAACAAATTAGCTGTGTGGTTCCAAAGTTTTACAGACACAGAGAAGATCACCTGTTACTAGTTACTAGTTCAGTAATATAAATATTTTGTATATTAATAATGCTGTTTGTTCAGCATTTTTTGGTCATTTAATGCATTTTGCACTTCCTCCCAAGATATTTTTTTGGTCAAAATATGAAGTATTGGTGCAGTTTAAGGATGTTTTGGTTTTTGAAAGATAAAAAAAATTCTGTAATGAATATCTATGTAACTAAAACAGTGACTTTTTTCTCTTTAGGTTAAATTCACAGATATGAATCAAACTTTTAAGATTTTTAAACTTATATTACCAAATTCCCCTTCAAAAAATTTGTGCCCATTTTATGTTCCCATCACTATGTGTAAGACTTCCAGTTTCTGTGATGTGGCCTAGAATTAAACATAAAACCTCAGATGCAATCCAACTAACATTCACCCTGAATGCCTCACTTCCCTTTACTGTACACAGATAAACTACAAGCACAGATATTCTCCAAATTCTCTGACAAAGACAAAAGTTAGAGTGATAGTGCTAGAAATGACTTTGGCACAAGACACTTACTTTCCACCAACAAGCTTATTTTCAGGTGAGAATCCACAAGCCCAAGAAGGTAAAATATCAGAGCAGACAGATTCCCAAAGAAAACCAAACTAGAAAACCACATGTAGGCAAAAAGCAGCAGAGAAACAAAACAAAATGTGTCTTTAGCAGTTACCTATGGGGAATGGAACTATTTTTCTTCTTCTTTTTACTTTTCTGAAAGGAGCATATCTTTCTTTCCCAGTGGAGAAAAAAGTATTTCTTTGAAAGAAGAGGGGACATGGTGGCACACACCTGTAATCCCAGCACTTTGGGAAACCAAGGAAAGTGGATAGCTTGAGGCCATGAGTTTGAGACTCCCCCAGCCAACATGGTGAAACCCTGTCTCTACTAAAAATGAAAATAAAAAATTAGCTGGGCATGGTAGTGCATGCTGCATGCCTAATCTCAGCTTCCCAGGGGGCTGAGGTACAAGAATGAATCACTTGAACCTGGGAGGTGGAGGTGGCAGTAGCAGTGAGCTGAAATCAGCAACCTGAGCAACAGAGCAAGACTCTATCTCCAAAACAAACCTTAATGAATAAAATAAGGAAAAATAGAAAAAAGGAAGTAAATTTGTAGGTTTCCTACTATATACACTTAATATATGCCTAAGGCCTACTAAGACCTAGTATAAAGGAGGCTTAAAAATAGGAAAAATGGCATGTTTAAAAATCTGGAAGAGGCAGGAACTCTAGAACATTGAATTCCAATAATGCAAGCAGAGCCTGAGTGAAGCAACTTTGGAAAAGCAGCTCTGGTCTGTCGATTTGAAAAAACAAATGTACTTGATGAGCTGGGTCTGGAATAGGCTCTGGAGACCTCTGGCTGACGCGACAAAGGATTGGTGTTTGACAGGTTGATTGGTTGTTTGTTTGTTTGTTTTTTCATTATTTTGGTGGATTTTATATTTTGTAATTTTTCTGTAAATTTATATTCAGCTGAAAGGACAGGTGATTTAATGGTGTTTTCTTATGAGTAGTTTGGAAATCTTGTCTCTGTCTCCATTTGGAGGTAGGGTTACGGTAAAGATGGGGTTAGGGTGCTGTGAACTATAAGAGGTCACCAGCTTCATAGGGTAGAAACATTTAGGAACCACCACCAACAGGCACCAGGAAAGGTGTCTGCCCTTTCCTCTCACCTGAGACCTGAATTTTCTGCATTTTCTGTCCTTGTAAGAACTGGAGTCATGGTATTTGGTTTCAGAGTCTTGTCTTAATGAGGGATTTCACATCTTGCTGTGGCTGTGGTGGGTGTTGACTGAATGAATCGTAAAATCATAGACTGTTAGTTAGCACAGAGATGAAATCACATCCCTAAAGTCTACTATTCGTAGTTAGTAAGTGGGCCAGGCGTGGTGACTCACATCTGTAATCCCAGCACTTTGGGAGGCTGAGGTGGGCAGATCACTTGAGGTCAGGAGTCCGAGACCAGCCTTGCCAACATGGCGCAACCCCATCTCTACTAAAAATACAAAAATTAGTTAGTTGTGGTGGCACAAGCCTGTAATCCCAGCCACTCGGGAGTCTGAAGCAGGAGAATCACTTGAACCCAGGCATCAGAGGCTGCAGTGAGCCAATATCACACCACTGCACTCCAGCCTGAGTGACAGAGTAAGACTCAGTCTCAAAAAAAAAAGTTAATAAGTGATGGGGCCTGATAGAGTTGCCAGATTTCACAAATAAAAGTATAAGAGCCATTGTTAGATCTGAATTTTAGGTAAACAGTGACATGGCGTTTAGTATAAGCCTCATGCAATATTGAACTGGATGTCCTGTATTTCATCTGGCCACCTGATGGGGCCTTGATGAAAGCTCAGCTCCCAGTGACCAAGGAGGTCTGTCTGATTTCCAGAAAAACAGTCCAGAAGGGCCCCACATGGGAGAAGCTGTGGAGTTTAGTGGTACCAGGGCACAGTTAGCCCTTGGCGTGGTTTCATCTGTTATAGTATTACAAATAGTACTTGCTTCAAATAGCTGTTGTAAGAATAACATAATTACACATAAAACAGATATTTATTAGATAAAATATCAAGCCAAAAGTATTGTGACTTTTATCTGAATAGTCTGCAATGACTTCTCAAACAAATTTGGTCTCTCAACTATACTGTCGGTGCAAAATAGGCCACAGTTCCCCTACTATTCTCTCCAGCTTTATGCTAAGAAAACCAAAAACTCACCTCATCTGCAGGACAGAGGTATGGCTCTGATTTTGATAAGGCAATAAGGATTTGTATTAACCATCATAATAATTATTCATTCATTATAGAGTCACTATCTTAGCATTATTACATTGTAAATATAAAAAGAAAAATCAAAGACTTCCTACAGTGACGTGGGGAGTTCACAGCAAATTGCCTCCTTTAAATTATCTAATGTAGAAGTTCCGAATCGGGCTAATCATCAGAATTACCTGGGGAATTATCCTTTTCTGTTATGAAAATATTTTGAACATACAGCAAAACTGAAAGAATATTACAGTGAACACGTGTATACCCAACACCTAGAGTCTTCAATTAACATCTTACTACAATTTGGGTATCCCTAATCCAAAATGTTCCAGAATCCTAATTTTTTTTGCATGCCAACATGATGCTCAAAGGAAATGCTTATAGTAACATCTGGGGTTTTGAATTTCAGGATTTGGGATGCTCAACTAGTAAGTATATGCAAATATTCCAGAATCCAAAAAAATAAAATAAAATTTAAAACACTTCTGATCCCAAGCATTTCCGATAAGGAGTGCTTCAGCCTGTATATCTTGTCTTGTTATATATCTGTCCCTCTAGTCATCCAATGCATCTCTTTTTCCTGTACACATCAAAGTAAATTGCAGATGTCTGTACACTTGCCCTGGTGCATTTTCTAAGACTATAAGTTTCTAGGCCTCAGCCCAGAAAGGTACAGGTCTGCTAATTCAGGAATTTTTCCAAACAACCCCCAGCTTCACTCTGGTAACCATGCTCATGGAACCCTTATTACCCAAAACACTACCAGTCTCATGGCAAAGTGAAAAGACCTGGCACACCACGTGTCGAGTGTAAAACTTCTACTCAAAAATGATAACATCTGTCTCTGCCCACATTTCATTGGCCATAGCAAGTCCCTTGGAACTCTTAAATTCAAACGGTTAGGACAGGACAGGCAGGGTGGGAGGCCAACATAGGCGGATTACCTGAGGTCAGGAGTTTGAGACCAACCTGGTCAACATGAAAATACAAAATTTCTCTACTGAAAATACAAAAAATAGCCAGGCATGGTAGTGGGTGCCTGTAATTCCAGATTCTCAGAAGGCTGAGGCAAGAGAATCACTTGAACCCAGGTGGGGAAGGTTGCAGTGAGCCAAGATCGCACCATTGCACTCGAGCCTGGGTGACAGAGCAAGACTCCATCTCAAAAAAAAAAAAAAAAAAAAAAAGAAGAAGGTGGGGATGAGTAACCCTTCCACAGGCACAGGGAGAAGCACTGTGAAAGGAAAGCTTGAATATATAAGAAAGTAATACAGTCTAACACAGGAAGCCACTCATTTAATTCAGCCTCTTCTCTTTACAGACGGGCAAGCTAGCATCCAAAGAGGCAAAGGACTCTCCCAGGAACACTCGGCTAGTTCAAAGCAGGAGTGGTCAAGAACCAAGGTCTCCTAATTGCCCCTCTTGTCATGTACAGGGTTGCCTCCGTGAAGCTCACAGATAGTTCATCATTCATTAATTGATATACTATACACAGGCACTGATAAATAAGGCACAGTTTGTGCTGTCAAGACATTCCCAGTCCCATTTAAAGTTTTTCCATAGAACCTTCAGCTGACCCTTGCATGTTTCCACATATTCCCCTAATAACCTGAAGCATTCAGTGTACTTCAGAACTAATAAAGATGTTGTCTTTGAGGATAAAGATCTATTTTTCTCAATTGTTTTCAGTCCAAGAGTGTCAGTTCCAGCAACAGCCTACTGATCCCGGCACAGTGATGCAGCTCTTCCCAGATGGAGAACGTTTCAAGTGACTCATGGGCCCAGACTGGTTGAGAATCATTCCTAGGGCACAATCAGTTCATGATCTGATGGCATAATAGCTTTTCTCAGAAAAGAGTCATTCAGTCACAAAAACCTCAGCCCAACATAGGGACCCATTTTCATTTAGGGAGAAAGAAATATTTCAACAGGCAGAAATATGATAGATTTCTAAAATATAATGGTTATCCAGGAATAAGATAGTTTGATTTGCAAAAGATAATTGATCCTCTCACAAGCTATAACTGGGAAGACTATGCATCTTGGAATCGTTGAAACAGTACCACGATATAGACCTGCTGTGTCCAACCTTTGTAAGCTCATAGAATTTTACTGGAAGTAAGCTAGAAAGACTTTTAAGCATCACCAACAGTAGCTGCCTCATTTTGCAGGTAATAACTATGATGCTTATTATGTGTTTCCTTTTGCCAGCTACCGATCCAAAAGATTCACATGCAGTATTTTGTTCTCACAACCAATAGGCATTATGACCACCCCCATTTTATAATTGAAGAGGTTGAAGCTCAAAGCAGAGATGTGACTTGATCAAAGTCCTCTAACCATATTGAGAATGGGCTGAGGTGTGAACCTGGAACTCAAACCCTTGAGTCCTGTGATCCTTTTATGTGAAAGGAGCAGAGTTGTCACTTTTGTGGAGCCACGGACTCCTGGACACTGCCTTTCATTAACAATTTTCTGTGACACTGGGCCAGGTTCTGTGGGGATGCCAGCCTAAGTGAAGAAGTTTCTGCCCTCTGGGAGCTTTATCCTGGCAAAGAAAGGAAAAGAACGTGAGCAAACTGTGTGTCCTAGAAGCCAGAGAAAGAATTTCAAGATGTTGGTCTTTGGTGTTAAGGAGTAAAAGGTATCAAAGACAAGAAGCAAGCCAACAAATAATATGACAAACATGCAATCACTGTTGAACTACAAAAGAGCAATTTCAGAGAGTGATGAGGTAGGAGATAGTTTCCAAAAGGATAGGGAGTCAATAAATGAAGAGGAAATGGAAACAGGCAGTTTTCTGCTGCTTAAAAAAAAGAGAGAGAGATAGGATATAAAGCGAACTCAGAGGACACATGTAATGGTAGAAATATTTTTGTTTGGACTGGGGAGAACTCAGCATGATGTTATACAGAAGAAAAGATGCTAACCGAGAGAAATAAATTTCATATGGACAAAAAAAGAGAGCATCAGATTCCTGGAACAGAGAGGAAAGGATCCACTTATTATTACCTTGTTTTGTCTTTCAGATGTTATTATAAAGTATCTACTGTATTTCAGGCACTCTGTGTGGGCAGCATGATGAGCAAAGCAGACCCAGATTCCATACTCAGGTACTACAGAGTCTAATAAGGAAGGCAAAAATTTAAGTACATAATATATATCATACATATAAACCAGATACATGTATCTGTACATACATATGCTTTATCTATTAATATATTTCATATATATATATATAATTTCTCTGGCTCCTGTAAAATATATATATTTATATTATATGTATTTTATATATAATTCATATTTATATTTTACAGGAGCCAAAGCAGGGAAATCATATATATAGTACCACAATAACTGTTAAAATAGTACCACAATATTAAAAAAGCTGTGTCCAACCTTTGTAAGATTATGGCATTTTACTAGGAATAATCTAGAAAGATTTCTAAGTATCTCCGACAGTAGCTGCCTCATTTTACAGATAATAATTCTGATGCTTATTATGTGGACTGGGAAAAACTGAGCATGATGTTATACAGAAAAGAAGATGCCAACCAAGAGAAATAAATTTCATATGCACTAAACAGAGTGTATCAAGTTCTCTGTAATATACCTATATATTTTACAGGAGCCAAAGCAGAGAAATTAGCTTCAAGCTAAATGGCATAAAGTTTTCCAAACAGGAGAAAGAAGGATAGAGGGCAAAGGATGAAGACATCAATATTTTGAAAATGTCGAAGAAAGGAGACAATCATCATCTTAGTGAATAAGAGGCTTTAAAATGTTAAGAGTGGGAGGAATGAGCATGTGTTGAAGGATAGTGGGGAAATATTAGCATCCATTCATGGACATCCAATGGATATCCAATTTGATACCAGGAAAAAAGAAGTATATTTGCCAAAAAGCATTAAAAACTATTATGAAGGGCCATATGCAGTGGCTCACATCTATAATCCCAGCACTTTGGGAAGCCGAGGCAGGCGGATCACGAGGTCAGGAGATCGAGACTATCCTGGCCAAAATGGTGAAACCCATCTCTACTAAAAATACAAAAATTAGCTGGGCATGATGGCAGGCACCTTTAGTCCCAGCTACTCAGGAGGCTGAGGCAGGAGAATCTCTTGAACCCGGGAGATGGAGGTTGCAGTGAGCTGAGATTGCGCCACTGCACTCCAGACTGGAGACATAGTGAGACTCTGTCTCAAAAAAAAAAAAAAAAATCTATTATGAAGTTGGATAGCATGACTCAGTTGGATCAGTTTTCTGACTCTCTCAAGGGAACTCTTAGCAGTCCAGAGTAGATGCAAATAAAACATACGATGGACTGGGCAGGGAGAGCAGGCTGACAGTGACCTGCCAGTTTCTATAGAACTCAAGCAGGGGTTCAAAGTTGCTAGCTGGTGTCCAGCTAGCTAGGGAGGTAAGTGAAGCCCAAAGGGAATTGGCCAATCCAATGAGAGCATAATGATGGCAAGGAACAAGTTGAGAAGAAGTGAGGTCAAGGGAAAAGCAAAAGGGAGAGGCAGAAGTTATCAGAGTGGAGAATAGATCCAAATAACGAACACTCAGTTTCAGCCAGAGCCGCAGGGGGCTGAAAATGGGTTAGTGATGAACTTGGTGCTAGGGAGGCTTAATATCTCTCAGACTGGGGTGGAATGGGAGCTAAAGCCTGGGAAGCTTTGCTGATAGCAATTCAACCCAGAGAATAGTGTCCTCTCTGCCTTGAAACTTAGAGAAAATAAACATTGAGTTTTCTAAACTAGGTACATGTATCTGCACATATACTGTCACATATATACAGGTGTGTGTGTGTGAGAGAGAGAGGGGGAGGGAGGGAAGGAGAGAGAGAGAGAGAGAGCATACACATACAGATATATCTTAAGTACCCGCAAGTGGTCTGTAAATCTGTAAGTAATGGCTAGTCCTGAAATTCATTACTAACTTTGGATTATGTTTAATTTAAACCTTGATGTGCCAGACAGTGTAACTCAGGAGGAGCTACAGAGGTGTATAACCTCCCTTCATTGTAAATAGCTTCTACCAAGCACCAGTGTTTTAACAGAGAGATGGGAATAGGAAAATTTTTATTGACGTTTGGGGAAACGGGACAAATTTGAGAGACTTTCAAATGTAGACTTGACAGAGCTTGGCAACTGGTCAGATGTGGGAGATGAGGGGGAGAGCCTAACGTGAATGAGGCAGAAAGTTGGTGATCATTTCCCCCCATTTTACAGATGAAGAAACTAAGATTCAGAGAAATTAAAAGACTGCTCTATAACCACATGCCTAGTAAGTGGCAGGACCAGTGTTGATGTTCAGATCACCCATCCTATGCCCTTCATAATACATCATACTCCTCCACTTCCACCCCTGTGCAGAGGCAGAACTCTTTCATGCTCCAAGTTCCATTACTGAAGACACCAGGCTCAGCCTTAGGCTGTCTTTCCCACACTTCCCTTATGCTGGCAAAGGTGATTGATCACCCTTCCCTGGCCTGAGTAAGGAGTCCCAGCCAGTGCTTCTGCGATGGTGTTCACAGGCCCCACTCATAGAACCTATTACACTGCTGTGATGATGGTTCACCTGTTCATCCTCCCCACTAGAATATGATGTCTCTGATGGAAAAGGCCTAATTCTGGGTCTTTTTATTTCTACCACTTAGTACAATGTCTGACCCATGCTATCTGTCCAATAGATGTTTCTTTAAAAAGAGCTGTGTTAATTAATCTTCATGCTTAATTCCAGGTTACATCCTGGAGTTAGTAAGATGCAAGAAAATGTCAACAAAGGTCATTTTAGGCCCAGCCCTGTGGCTCACGCCTGTAATCCCAGCACTTTAGGAGACTGAGGTGGGTGGATCATTTGAGGTCAGGTATTCAAGACCAGCCTGATCAACATGGTGAAACCCCTCCTCTACTAAAAATACAAAAATTAGTCAGGGGTGGTGGCAGACACCTGTAGACTTAGCTACTCAGGAGGCTGAGGCAGGAGAATTGTTTGAACCCGGGAGGCGGAGGTTACAATGACCCGAGCTCATGCCACTGCACTCCACCCTGGGCAACCGAGCAAGACTCCCTCTCAAGCACATACACGTCCTTATAACCAGCTCTGTGCCATTTCTTTCTTTTTGTGTGTTTTGAGACTGAGTTTCGCTCTTGTTGCCTAGGCTGGAGTGCAATGGCACGATCTCGGCTTGCTGCAACCCCCACCTCCCAATTCAAGCAGTTCTCTTGCCTCAGCCCCCAAGTAGCCTGATTACAGGCACCCGCCACTATGCTCAGCTAGTTTTTGTATTTTTAGTAGAGACAGGGTTTTACCATGTTGATCAGGCTGGTCTCGAACTTCTGATCTCAGGTAATCTGCCCGCTTTGGCCTTCCAAAGTGCTGGGATTACAGGCATGAGCCATCATGCCCAGCCTGCACTGTGCCATTTCTATATGAAACACTTAAAAGTGTAATCTAAACTTAGGTGTATGCATTTGTTTGTATTTGGAATGCAGCAAATTTTTTACCTGACATCTTTGTTTGGGTTTTTGTTCTGAGCCCAGCATGTGCTGAAACACACCAGCTTTGCTATTTCATTCTTCTTTTCCCCTACGAGGCCAAGTACCTGCAGCAGTTGCTTAAGAGGCTGGTCCTTATCTTAAGGAGCCCAGCCAATGAATCCAGGAGCTATCTCACAAAAGAGGATTGCTCCAGTCAATAAAAAGCAAACTGGAAAATGTGACCCCCGTGGGCATGCCTAGGTGATGCAGATGATTTCAGTTCTACCTCTCAAAGAACATGAGATACTGAAGAGAAGACAGACTTGGGCTGCCTGGGCCCGCAATTCCCGTGCAGTCTCTCCCCTCTGTCCTTCTGTGGCAATGCTGTCAAGACCCGTAGGGAAATGACTTACTGAGATGCGAACTGGGCGTTCATAGTACATGCATTTTCACAATATAGCACCTTTGGCCTCACAGGAATGCTTTTTTAATTTTTCACCTTTTTGATATATTTACAGACACCTTCAAAACGGAATTCCATATTCCACTCTCTGTGAATCACGTCACATGGTATGGTATATGAGCTTGTTCAGGGCCTCCAGCCTCGGGTGATGATACACTTGGGTAATGATACACTAAAAATTAGTGACATGACAGTAAATGTGACAGTTCCTGTCTGCTATCAGTCATCTTGCCACCAGAAGACACAGCCCACTCATTCTGAGATGTGGCTCCTCAAATATCTTTTGCCATGTAACAAAGTATCCTGGAGGGATATCAAGGCCCCATTGTTTTTTATTTAAAAGTCATAAGTTAAGACCTCAAAGATATGTCAGTGGCAGTGGATGAAAATTTATGTTTTCCACAAGCAGTTTTTATGCTTTTACTGCAGTGATAAAATCACTTTGTTCTTCAGTTTGTAGCCAAGGGAAGAATCAAGCTATTGTGTAGATTACTTAAAATTCCACAGTGCCTGCACCATTTGGCCAAAGAATGCTAAAAATTTGCAGCTGTTGCTCCCACGAAAGTTTCTAACTGGGGCAGCGGCTGCTGTTTAACACACAGCTGTTGTTAATTTGAGCTGAAGATTTTTAATTGCCTTTGTGTCGAGATTTATTAAATAACATTTTAGCAGAACAAAAACTGTAATAGTTGTATTAGCAGAATGCTGGAGGAAGAAAATAATTGGAACATGGCATTTTTTGCCTTGTAAGCCAAGTCTGAAAATATCTTTTCCACATGGAGGGCTCCCAGCCATTCCAGGAAAAGCATTTCCAGGTAAAGCTGGCCACAGAAGCCCTGATGGCCTCTCCAGGAGCTCAGCCATTTGCTCCCCTTAGTCATTTACCTGGAAGCACTTCTCCAGAGTGGCCTCCTCGTTCCCACACTCTCCATTCCAATTATACTAGGAGACAAGGAGTCACAGTACTTACGGTAAACATAGCATTAGCTGGCAACTGGCGACTCCATTAAGTGGTCTGCATTATTTTGGGGAGCCTCTATAGTTGCTGTTTTCCTATTATATCCAGCCCATCCCTGACAATACTGTGAGGGGTCTGACCTCCTCCGCATTTGGCTCAGAGCAGCTTTATAGATGAGCAGACGATAGAAGACTCAGACCTTTCCTGGATTTTCTGGCAAGGCAAAAAAGAGGGATGAGAGGCCCTCGTATTAAAAAGGGTCAGCAACTAATGTTCTCCCTTAAGAGGGAAGTTGCCAACTGCACAAAGAAAGGAGTTTTATATATAAAGAAAGGCAAACCAGAAACATTGCAGAATGAGTTGTCAATCCTTCTGACCTTGTTAAAATCTCAATCATGCTTGGATGCTGATGGTAAATATTTCCTTTCAACAGGAAAACTCTGTCAGGCATTTATGGTGTACTCACAATGTGCAAGGTACTGTGTGAGGTGCTCAGGGCACCCAGAGAGGCCTTCTGGTCTGACAACCAGTGAGGGAATTGGAGCCCGAGAGGCAGACACGAAGGGAGCATCCAGGCGCTGTTCACAGCATTGGCTCCAACAGAGGAAAGCATGTGATTTGTGCCTAAGGAACGAGAAAGACCTTGATGGTTAGAAAAGAGGATGAATGTGGGCAGGCACAGTGGCTCAGGCCTATAATCCCAGAAGTTTGGCAGGTTGAGGTGGGAGGATTTCTTGAGGCCAGGAGTTCAAGACCAGCCTGGGCAACATGGTAAGAGAGACCCTGTCTCTACCAGAAAATTTTAAAATTTAGCTAGGTGTAGTGGTGTGCACCTGCAAGAGGATTGCTTCAGCCCAGGAGTTTGGAGTTCAAGGATGGAGTGAGCTGTGAGAGCTGTGATTGTGCCACTGCAGAGAGAAAGAGAGAAAAGAAAGGAAGGAAGGAGGGAAATAAGGAAGGAAGGAAGGGAAGGAGATGAATGAGTGAAGGAAGGAAGGAAAGAGATGAATGGGTAAAGAAAATGTGCTGGAATATAGAATATTTTCCAGCCGTAAAAAGATAGAAATCCTGCTATTTGTGATAACATATTGGAAGACATTATGCTGAGTGAAATAAGCCAAGCAAAAAAGACAAATACTGCATGATCTCACATATATGTGGAATCTTAAAAAGTCAAATTTGTGGAAGCAGGTAGTAAGAATGGTGGTTGCCAGGGGTTGGGGAGGTGCAGGAGGTGGGGAGATGTGGCTCTGGAGACCTCACGTATAGCATGACGGTACAGCTCACAACACTGTATTATATACTTGAAATTAGGAGAATAGATGTGAAATGTCTTCAGCACAAAAAAAGAGTAACTGTGTGAGGTGAAGGTTAATTACTTGATTGTGGAAATCATTTCACAGTCTATATCAAATCATCACGTTGTACACTTAAATTTATAGTTTTATCAATGATATCTCAATAAAGCTTGGGAAGAAAAAGAAAAGAGGAAGGAGGGGCCTTTCAAGCTGAGGACCAAGAAGAACAAAAGCACAGAAAAGTCTGTCTTGTTGAAAAAACTGTGTTACTTGGACAAGACAGTGCTGGGGGCGAGTAAGAAATGGGGGTGAGGGGCCCAGCACAGTCGCTCATGCCTGTAATCCCAGCACTTTGGGAGGCTGAGGTGGGTAGATCACCTGAGGCCAGGAGTTTGAGACTAGCCTGGCCAACATGGTGAAACCCTATCTCTATCAAAAACTATAAAAATTAGCCACGCATGGTGGTGCACACCTGTAATCCCAGCTATTTGGGAGGCTGAGGCAGGAGAATCACTTGAACCTGGGGGGTGAAGGTTGGAGTGAGCTGAGATCACACCGCTGCACACCAGCCCAGGTGATAGAGCAATAGTCCATTTCAAAAAAAAAAAAAAGGAGAAGAAGAAATAGCAGGGGAAAGATGCTGGAGAGGTAAAGTAGGTCTAGATTCTGGATGGGATGCCACTGTAGGGAATTTGAACTTTACTCTGGGGGCATAGGAGGCTATTGAGTGTTTTGGAGGTGGGAGTGCCCTGCTTTCCGGGCACATCATTCTGCTAGCAGGTCTGCAAGGCTCCAAAGCCCCTCCCATTCTGACATACGGAGGTGAAGTGATTGCCGTACACCAGGCGGAGAGGATCAGGACCTGAACTCTGGCCAGGTCAATGTGGCCACAGTGGGGAGGAGAAAAGGGAACACTTCTGAGAGTCAGAGCTCAGGCTCCAAATCCTAGGCTTGCCGCTTGCTAACTAACTGTGCAGCTTAGACACTGGAGTTAACTTCTCTGTGCTTCTGCTTCCTCATCTGTAAAATGGGAATAATAACAGTACATGCCTCTTAAGGTTATTTTATATAACCTTATACACCACCTAAAACGCTTAGAACAGGGGGTTGGTACAATAAGCACTTGACAAAGATAATCTATTATTATTATGTTCAGATGTAAAATCCTGTGACTTAACTGATTGAACCTGGAGGGCAAGGGAAAGCGTCAAAGCCGTACTGTTCATGAAAGGACTATGGCAGATACTCAGAATTGATAATAGCTAGGGAAAAAACATTGAAGGACATTCTGCAAAATACCTGTTCATAATCTTCAAATGTGTCAAGGAAACCCACAGGAGCTCTTCCACACTGAAGGAGAGCAGAAGGACTTGACAACTAAAGGCAATGTGTGATCCTGAACTTGACCCATTAACTTCAGCGGACATTATTTATTGAGTCAATTGGGACAATTCAATTGAAATTTTCAGGAGTCCAAGGATGTCATTATGAAGGAGGATGTGCTTGTTTCCGTGTTTGTAGGAAATGACATAAAAGGTTCTGGAGTAAAGAGGCATCCAATGAGCAACTTATTCCCAAGTGTTTCTGAAAGTTGTTTGTCCTCACAACTCCTTTGGAAGTTTGTGATTGCTGAAAATAAAAACACCTTCTTTTTTAAATGAAAAGCTAGCATTTGTTGAGCATTCACTAAGTATCAGGAATTGTGGCCAGTGCTTTGCACATGAGCAGCTTTGGCTCTCCAAAGAAACTTCTCTGACTTTGCATCTCTACCAAAACAGAGCCGAGTGCCCCTCCTCTGTGCCCCGATCATAGGCTGCACTCCTCTTCACTAACTGCTCGTGACCATGAGTTTCAAGTGGTCTTTGAAAAGTAGACCACTTGTTTGTCTGTGACACTCCCCCCTCCCACTTCATGGATAGCCTAAGTTCTTTAACAGCAAGGGCTGTATCCCTTTCTCCACTTGCAGCCCCTGGTATAGTAAATCCCAGGCTCCCAAGACATCCTTGGTGGCTGAAACACTGAGGCTTGCTCACCATGGTGACTACCATTAAAAATGAGGCACCAGGCTTGGAATGCATGTCTGATATATGACTTCTTTTCAAGGTGGTCCTGGCTCTGGCAAAGGCACACAATGTGAAAAGCTGGTGGAAAAATATGGATTTACACATCTCTCAACTGGCGAGCTCCTGCGTAAGGAACTGGCATCAGAATCTGAAAGAAGCAAATTGATCAGAGATATTATGGAACATGGAGACCTGGTGCCCTCAGTAAGCAACAAAACCTGCTCCACACTACTGCCTTTCCTGTAATGAGTCTGAGCTGCTGGAACTAAACACCTCAAAGAAACAATAGTTGTATTTTACTTCCTCCTTTGTAGCAATCCAGATGCAGGCAGGTCTACAGTGGAGAGCCCTTCCGCCCAACCAGGTCTGGCTGGCCCAGGGTCCTTCCATCTTGTTGCTCTACCAGCCCCTCGAATGTTGACCTAATTTCACATTTTCCCCCCAGATTCATCCCACTTTAGAATTGAAAAAGCTTCAAAATGGAAGTGAGTACGGTGTAGCAGAGCCTAGAATTAGAAACTCCCAGAAAATATTAAGTAATGCTTTGGTCTAGTTCTGAGAAGTACGATGACATGACCTTGAAATCTGCTATCTTCTTGTGTCATTTCAGAATATCTTTTTTTCTATCTTTTTTCTTCTTAAGTCACCATCCATCTCTGAGGAGCTGGATGGCAGGGATATCAAGAAATATTCGTCTCTGCCACAGTGGGTCACATGCTAGGCTCTGTAATTAGGGCTGTATGATACAGTCTCTGTTCACAACAGAGCTGTCTGATTCCTCTCTAACCAGCTGCACTCTTCCTGCCTGGACAACAGAATGGTCCTCGGGAAGGGAAAACAGACCATTACAATTGCCACCTAGCTGGCCTCCCAGAGCCCACTCTTCTCCCTACAGTCTCCTCTTTTCACAGCAGCTGTTACCAGAAAGCAGTCTCAATTCAGACCCCAAGAGAGGGTTCTTGGATCCTGTGCAAGAAAGAACTCAGGACGAGTTGTAGAGTAAAGTGAAAGCAAGTTTATTAAGAAAGTAGAGGAATAAAAGAATGGCTACTCTAAAGACAGAGCATCCCGAGGGCTGCTGGTTGCCCATTTTTATGGTTATTTCTTGATGATATACTAAACAAGGGGTGGATTATTCATGCTGCCCCAGTGTTGCCATGGCATTTGTAAACTGTCATGGCACTGGTGGGAGTGTAGCAGTGAGGACAACCAGAGGTCACTCTTGTCGCCATCTTGGTTTTGGTGAGTTTTAGCCAGTTTCTTTACTGCAACCTGTTTTATCAGCAAGGTCCTTAGGACCTGTATCTTGTGTGGACCTTCTATCTCATCCTGTGACTTAAAATGCCTTCAGCTGCTGGGCACAGTGGTTCATGCCTATAATCCCAGCACTTTGGGAGGATAAGGCAGGCAAATCAGCTGAGGTCAGGAGTTCAAGACCAGCTTGGCCCACATGGTGAAACCCTATCTCTACTAAAAATACAAAAAAATTAGCTGGGGGTGGTGGTGGGTGCCTGTAATCCCAGCTACTTGGGAGGCTGAGGTAGGAGAATCGTTTTAACTCAGAAGGCAGAGATTGCAGTGAGCCAAGATCGTGCCACTGCACTCCAGCCTAGGCAACAGTGCAAGACTCTGTCTGAAAAAAAAAAAAAGAAAAGAAAAGAAAATGCCTTAACCTTCTGAGAATGCAGCCCAGTAGGTCTCAGCCTTATTTTACCCAGCCTTTATTCAAGATGGAGTTGCTCTGTTTCCAACACCTCTGACACAGCCAGAATGATTTCTTTAAAACATTTATCGAAGTGTGTTATTCCCTTCCTCAAAACCTTCCAGGGGCTGCCCACTGTACTTAGGATGGCATACAGAGTCCTTTCTCAGTTCCGGCCTCCAGCTCCCTCTCCACTGTCATTTCCCACCACTCTCACCTTGCTTACTCCCACCCGCTTCCTTGTTCCTCCCACAAGTCAGACTGTTCCTGCCTCAGGGCCTTTGCACTTGCTGTGTCTGCAGCTTGAGTGCCCTCCCTTCACACAGTCACATAGTTTGCTCCTTTACTTCATCCAGATCTCCGCTTCACTGTTACACTTTATCAGATGCCTTCCCTGACCACCCTATAGGAAGTAACAACTCGAGCATTGTGTATCTCTTTGTCCTGCTCTAATTTTGTACCTGTCAGTTATCTGCAGCTGACTTTTTATTATGTATTTATTTGTTCATCTACTGCCTATCTTCTTCATTAGAATATAAACTTCATGAGGACTTTATTCACGATTTTCTAGGGATAGATGCTGACCACACTTGGAATGGCCACATTCCCTAAAGCCCCTGCCAAAAGCCAGAGCGCCCACGAGCAAGGAATTCGTCTGCTGGCAGATGATCGCATTTTTCCTCTACCAATTTCCTGACTCTGGTGTATTTCTCTCACTTCATTTTCCATAAGCACTTGTTAAATACAAATTTTCAACAAAGAGAGTTATGTTGCTTGAAAATGCTATTTTACATCTACCAAAAGTCTTTTAAGTCAGTATATGTCAAATTTTATAAAATATATACTGGAACAAAATTAACAGTAAAATACATTTTTTTTTTTTTTTGAGACAGAGTCTCACTGATTGCACAGGCTGGAGTGCAGTGCCGTGCAGCTCACTGCAACCTCCACTTCCTGAGTTTGAGGGATTCTCCTGCCTCAGCCTCCCGAGTAGCTGGGATTACAGGCGCCCACAATGGCTAGCTAAGTTTTGTATTTTTAGTAGAGAGGGTTTTGCCACGTTGGCCAGGCTGGTTTTAAACTCCTGACCTCAGGTGATCCACCCAACTCGGCCTCTCAAAGTGCTAGGATTACAGGCATGAGCCACTGCACCCAGCCAGTAAAATACTTTTTATACCATGTTTTGTCAAGTTTTAAATTGCCATTATGCCGAATTCATGGAGTGCTACCATATAAAATACAGCTACCTTATCTCATCTAATCTAAGATGCCAATATTTTAAGACAGATAACCAGTAAGAATATATCAGTAAGAAGAAAAACACTAACAATTAAACCATGATGCAGAACTGATTTTAAATACCTGCCAATTTAATAGATATTAAAATATAGAGTTGGGGTGGAAGTATGAAATGAAATCTGGTCTATTGCTATCTGCTGCTAACCTTATCAGAACATTCCTCTCTCCCTCAGTGGATGAGTGCAGGAGACTTGGGGTACTTCTAGTGTTCTGTGGAAGAGCTCAGGTCCTGACCACTCTTGCTTTACTCCAGGGCATCGTTCTAGAGCTCCTGAAGGAGGCCATGCTGGCCAGCCTCGGGGACACCAGGGGCTTCCTGATTGACGGCTATCCTCGGGAGGTGAAGCAAGGAGAAGAGTTTGGACGCAGGGTGAGTGGTTGTTATGAGGATCCTTCCAGAAGAGAAATAGGGGACATCATTGAGGTTGGGGGAAAATTCAAAGTCTATTTATTTCCCAATTACATTAATGAAAACTTTCCTTTACAAGTGGCAGAAACTTGACTCAAACTAGAAATTTACAAAGGAGGAGTAGATTTATTGACTTAAGTAACTAAAACACCCAGTAGTGGCTTAGATTTGCTTGACTCCAGATATCCAAATGTGACCATCAATTGTCTGACTCTCTCTCTCTCAAATTCTCTTGTGTTGACCTCATTTTCCTCCCGATCAAGGCTTAAGGCTTACATTCTACCATCTAAGTGACCTCACAGAAGTGTTTGTTTCCCAGTGGGTCCAGCAAAAGACCCAGAGTTGTGTTTTCCTATCCTGGATTTGGTCACAGCCCTGTCATCACTGAACCAATCACTGTGGCCAAGAGGGAAGGGGAGGGAATATGCTGGCTGGCCCATCTTGGAGGACCAGGGAAGGATGGGAAAGGAGGAGGGAGCACAGGCACCACACCTGAACTATACAGGAAAGGAAAATTACCTCCAGGAAAAGTAGTGCTGCCCTTACAAGAAGGGGGAATGGGTGCTGGACAGGTGGAATCAGAACCACACACCACCCTCCCGCTATCCTCTCATCATCCCATCTCCCAGCCCACCCTCTCCTAGTGAGGAGGGTGGGTCAGGGCCACTCACAGGGGAGCAGCAGTAAGTAAAAACCATTGTGGCTTCCATGAATTGAACCCACTCTGGGCCAAATCCTGTGCCCACACTTTATAGAGAGTAACTGGAATTTTACAAGTCCAGGCGAGAAGGGTACAACTGACCCCATTTGTTAGACTGACTTTGAGAACCTACAAGAAATTCATATTTATAGAGGTATTCCTTTAGACTAGTTTTGAAACATTTTTCATATATATTTTTCATTTTGATTTTTTTTAATAACATTTTAGATAGATAGGGGAAGTGTTGTCTTCATGTTAAAGGTTATGAGTGAAGCCCAGAGAGGATTGATGACTTGCCCATGGCCACACAGTTGGTGACAACTTACTGATAAGTGTCAACTGCTGGCAGAACTAAGATTTTGTGGGGCCCATCGCCATCCACGTCTAGTAACATTGATTGAGGTGAATTATACTTGGGTGTCTCCGGAGGGCTTTGACCTCCTTCTGAGCCTGTGTCATGCATCTTCCTTAGACAGTATTGAAATACTGAAAGGTCAGTTGCTCATCTTCCCCTATACTTCCTACATGAAACCAGAGTCAAAGAAAACTTTTCTAGGTCTGGTTGGCATGAGTGGACCCTGGACCCACACTGGCTGTCCCTTGGCTCCAGAGCTTCCATCAGCAAGGTGGGGCTAGGCAGGGAGAGGCGGATTTGTGGAGCAGAGTCCCATGACCGAAGAAGTTTCAGGCAGTTCTTAATGGGGGACACGCACATGCCCAAATTCTAACGAGCTTTTTCCCATGAAACAAACCACTTCAAGAGCACAAATCTCAATATAAATCAACTCGTTTTTTACAAAATGGAATTGGGAGCGTTGTTCTACTTTTTAAATAGCTTTGGTAAAACAGACATAACAAAATTTGTCATCTTAACCGTTTTTAAGTTTACAGTTCAGTGATGTTGAGTACATTCATATTGTTGTGAGGCCGTCACCACCATCCATCTTGAGAAGTCTTTTTATCTTGCTAAACTGAAACTCTACGCTTTATTTACTTATTACTTTATTTATCTTTATTTTGGGAGACAAGGTTTTGTCCTGTTGCCCTGGCTGGAGTGTAGTGGTGCAGTCATAGCTCACTGCGGCCTTGACCTCACAAGCTCAAGCAATCCTCCCACCTCAGCCTCCTGAGTAGCTGGGAGGCTGTACCACCACACCCAGCTAAATTTTTTGATTTTTTTTTTTTAGACATGGGGGTCTCACTCTGTTACCAGGGCTGGTCTTGAACTCCTGGGCTTAGGTGATCCTTTCACCTCAAGCCTCCCAAAGTTCTGGGATTACGGGTGCGAGCCACCACAATTGCCTGAAACTCCACTCTCTCCCTCCTTTCCCCAGCCCCTGATAGGCACCATTTTTCTTTCTGTCTCTGTTAATTTCACTATTCTAGGTACCTTTTATTTCACTTAATAAAATGTCCTCAAGCTTCGTTCATGTTGTAGCATGTGTCAGAATTTCCTTTTGTTTCCAGGTCAAATAACATTCCATTGTATGTGTATGCCACATTATTTTTATTCATTCACCTATGGATAGAGACTGGGGTTGCTTTCACTTTCCGGCTATTGTGAATAATGTTGACGTGACTATGGGTGTACAGTGTCTGTTCAAGTTCCTGCTTTGGGCATATACTCAAAAGTAGAATTGCTAGATCATATGGTAATTCTATTTTTAATTTTTTGAGGAGCCACCATACTACATATATATATATATACCTACTGTCAGACATAGTGGCCACACCATTTTACATTCCTACCGACGATGCATGAGGATTTCAATTTCTTCTCACCAACACTTGTTATTTTATGGGGTTTTTGATAGTAGCCATCCTAAATGGTGTGAGGTGGTTTCTTCTTGTGGTTTTGATTAGCAGTTCTTTACTGATTAGTGACATTGAGCATCTTTTCATATGATTTTTGGCCAGTTGTATATCTTCTCTGGAGAAGTGTCTATTTGAGTCCTTTACCCATTTATAAATGAAGTTGTTTTCTTTTTGTTGTTGAGTTGTAGGAGTTCTCTGTATATTTTAGATACTAACTCCTTATGAGATATATGACTTGCAGATATTTTCTTTCATTTGCTAGGTTGTCTTTTCTCTCTTTTGATTGTGTCCTTTGATGCACAAAAGCTTTTCATTTTGGTGTAGTCCAGTTTATCTGTTTTCACTTTTGTCGCCTGTGCTCTTTGTCCTGTATAAGAAGTTATTTGATGAACAAAAGCTTTTCATTTTGGTGTAGTCCAGTTTATCTGTTTTCACTTTTGTCGCCTGTGCTCTTTGTCCTGTATAAGAAGTTATTTGATGAACAAAAGCTTTTCATTTTGGTGTAGTCCAGTTTATCTGTTTTCACTTTTGTCGCCTGTGCTCTTTGTCCTGTATAAGAAGTTATTTGATGAACAAAAGCTTTTCATTTTGGTGTAGTCCAGTTTATCTGTTTTCACTTTTGTCGCCTGTGCTCTTTGTCCTGTATAAGAAGTTATTTGATGAACAAAAGCTTTTCATTTTGGTGTAGTCCAGTTTATCTGTTTTCACTTTTGTCGTCTGTGCTCTTTGTCCTGTATAAGAAGTTATTGCCTAATCCAATGTCATGAAGCCTTCCCTCTATATTTTCTTCTAAAACTTTTGTCGTTTTAGCTCTTATATAAGGTATTTTGATCCATTTTGTTTGTTTGTTTGAGACAGAGGCTCGCTCTGTTACCCAGGCTGCAGTGCAGGGGTGCAATCTCAGTTCACTGCAACTTCTACCTCCTAGGTTCAAGCAATTCTCATGCCTCAGCCTCCTGAATAGCTGGGACTACAAGCGCATGCCACCGCACCTGGCTAATTTTTTTTTTTTTTTTTGTACTTTTAGTAGAGACTAGGTTTCACCATGTTGGCCAGGCTTGTCTTGAACTCCCAGCCTCATGTGATCTGCCCCACCTTGGCCTCCCAAAGTGCTTGGATTACAGGCATGAGCTACCACACCAAGCCTTGATCCATTTTGAGATAATATTTTGTAGATGATGTCAGATAAGAGTCAGATTTCATTCTTTTGCCTATGGATATCTAGTTTTCCCAATGCCATTTGTTGAAAGACTATTCTCCCCCTCAGAATGATCTTGACATCTATGTTAGTCCATTTGCATTGCTGTGAGGAATACCTGAGGCTGGGTACTTAATGAAGAAAAGAGGTGATTTTTGGCTCATGGTTCTGCAGCCTGTACAGGAAGCATAACATTGGCATCTGCTCCTGGTGAGGCCTCAGGAAGCTTCCACTCACAGCAGAAGGTGAAGGAGAAGCCAGTGTACCACATGTTGAGAGAGAGACACCAGAGGCCCCGACTCTTTTAATCACATCTTCTGTGAACTCATAGATTGAGAACTCAGTCATTACCATGAGGACAGCACCAAGCCATTCACAAGCGACCTGCCCCCATGATCCAAACATCTTCAACTGGCTCACCTCCAACACTGGAGGTCACATTTCAACGTGAGATTTCGAGGGGAAAAATTCCAGACCATGTTAGCATCCTTGTGAAAAATCATTTGACCATATATATGTGAGGGTTTATTTCTGGGCTGTCTATTCTATTGATCTATATATCTGTCTTTATGTCTGTACCACATTCTTTTGATTACTGTAGCTTAGTCATAAGTTTTGAAATCAGAAAATGTGAGACCTCCAACTTTGCTGTTCTTTTTGATGACTGTTTTGGCAATTCAGGGCCTCTTGAGATTCTGTATGGTTTTAGAATGATATTTCTATTCCTGCCCCAAAAAAAACCACATTGGGATTTTGATAGACATTATATTAAATCTTAGATTATTTTGGGTAATATCAGCATCTTAGCAATATTAAGCCTTCCATGGATTGTTTTAGATTTTGTTTATTCTAATCCTCTAGCCAAGGTCTAAGCTGTGAATAAGTCCCTGGGGATGCATTCTGAGTAACTGAGGAACGGGAATATTTTTCTCACACCACCTCAAAATCAAGGCCTGTGCAGGGCTGGGGAGTTAGAAGGGATACAGAGAGAGGACAGTGTGGTCCAGCCGTTGAGAAGCTTCCTGTCTATGAGGACTGGCAGTTGTGTAAGCATGCCACTAGAATACAATTGCAGATGTGTAATAACTGCCTGCAGGGTCTTTACTGAGGTTCAGGCTTTTCACACTTACATTGCCCTTGAACTTAAGGTCAGAAGAGCTCTGAGAGAGCCTCCAGGAAAGTCAAGACAGGTCCTGCACTTGTTTGGAAGTGATGGGAATAGAAGTCTTTTATTATTATTATTATTGCTCTGAGAGGTGGTAGAATATTTTTTTGAGACCATCAAATGTCAAGGACAAGATGTATACTAAATAAATAAGGGGGCGCGCTCTCTGTCTCAGTCAGCAACAACAAAATTAAATTATGATTCTTATTCTTCTTTGGGGGATTTTAAAATTGAGTCTGAAGGCAAACCCCAGAACTTAGGCCTGTGGGGTTCCACACCATTTTGAGCAATGACAGCCCTGGAGCTTCCCAAGGTGGCATCATTAAAGCATATCACTCATGTACTCTGGAGTCAGAAAACCTAGGTTTTCACCTCTCATATTGAAGTATTGAAATGCGAGATTATAAAATTAACACTAAGACAAAAGTATGCCAAATTGCAGGGTCTTTATTGCCGGTGACCACGGAGGACTCACGTCTCTCCAACCCGTGGCCCCGAAGGAAGGGTGCAAGAGTCTTTTATACCCATAAACCACCTCTGGGGGTGGGGATGAAGGGATTCAGACATTCTGAGGGCCAGGGGATTCCGTAAATCACCTCCCGGGCAGAGAGGAAGGAGCAGGTCTCCGGACATTCCAAGGGCTAGGGGACTTGTTGTCACTTCGATTCTTACCTAAGTGGTTTACAGAAGTCAAGATAAGCATTAGTTTACACATTGTCTGGGCAGTAGTGGAATCCACAGATCTTAGTTACTTATTACAAGTTGCAGGGGCCAGGATGGAATTAGCTTGGGCTGCTTATTCTGGTCATTACTGGTAAGCAAAGGCCAGCAATTCTGGCAGTTACTGATAAGAAAAGGTAGGCAGCTTTACATAGTGAGCACTTTGCAGAGCAAACTAGCAGTTTTATTTACAGAAGCCAAGGCCAGCAGTTCTTGTGAGGAGAATGGGGCAGCCGTTACAACTTATTTCTGAAAAACAGCTTTGTCTTATAAAATGGCATTGCTCAGGTTCTAACTCTAGGCCAGCTATAGCACAATATATTATGGAGATCATAATACCTGTTAACATCTATTTAAAGGGTTTTGTAAACATCAGATGATATAACATACATAAATGTCTTCTAAGCTATAAAAGTTTATAAAATACTGTCAGTTTAGCATCACTCATTTGTTAATCACACCTCATATAAGCCTCTAAAATTCCTGCATCATCACAGCTTCCTCCTTTGTTTAAAACCCAGTTAGGACGAACCCAGAGCTCTATGCAGCGCATTGGTCTGTCCTCTGGCCTTTGGGTAAGTATGAATTCAAATGAGACATGTGATCTTCCCTAAAGTAAAGCAAAAACTTCCTCTCCCACTGTGGTCCCTGTTCAGACAGGTTTTAGAATGTGGCAGAGAAGAAGCCTAACTAGAACTAAGGAACAAGAAAGGCATCCACATGGTGACTGGACAGTTTCACCCAGTGCTGAAATTCATGATGCCATTTCAAACAACACACAGGTAACCCATTTCATTACTGAACATACAACCCTTAAGCGACATCTTCAAAGATCGTTTCTTACATACTACTAGGAGGAACTTACAGAGACTAAGAGTGATAGTGATTTGTCCCTGGGTACAGTAACTTAAGAAGATTCTAGTATCAATTAAGCGGGTGTGCAAGAGAACACATCCAGTCCTCCAGAATGTGGATGGCCTGACCAGATGGCCGGGCATGGTAGCTCACACCTGTAATCCCAACACTTTGGAAGACCAAGGCAGGCAGATTACCTGAGGTCAGGAATTTGAGACTAGCCAGACCAAAATGGTGAAACCCTGTTTCTACTAAAAATACAAAATTAGCCGGGCATGGTGGCACATGCCTATAATCCCAGCTACTTAGGAGGCTGAGCCAGTAGAATTACTTGAACCCAGGAGGCTGATGTTGCAGTGAGCTGAGATTGCACCACTGTATTCCAGCCTGGGCAACAGAGTGAGACTCTGTCTCAAAAAAAAAAACCTTGACCAGATGAACAAAGATGCTACAAAGACAGAATGAGCTACTGTTGACTCATTAATGCCCTGCAGGGCTCTTCATTTGTAGCTCCCCTCTGAATTACAGGCAAGAAATTAATTTGAAATTTGACAAAGACAAATGTAGACATCTGATTTTCCCCAGAGATTCAGAGTAATCAGCTTGGTTGAAAGCAGTGTTTCCCTTATGGGCATGAGGCCTGCAACTATGTTTGAAGTCCACTCAAGCCTGGGAGAGGTTTTAAGCAGCCCACAGAAATCTCACCAGCCTTTCCGTGTCACCAAAATTGACATGCCTGATGCATTGGACCATCTGTTGCCTTTAAAGTTTCAGTTAGTTAGGCTGACGCTTTTGCATACCTGTAGCTGAGTTCTCTAAGATGCAAGGTCCTTTGAGGATTTCCTTGGCCACTGGATATGACATCGCTAAAAATCAAATGCAAACTAATGTCCACAGCTTAAGGGTAAGTCTATGTGTAGTTTCTCTTTTACCTTCCTATCTTCTGTTCCTCAGACTGGTTTTATCCCTATTGAATGACAACCTGTGCCTTCAATCTGCAGTATGATTTACTGGGCGAAGGAAGGCTGTGTGTATGTGCGTGTGTGCATGTATGCTGTATGTATGTAGATGTGTGCAATGGGGCAGAAGGAATGTGAGGGAGGAGTCAGGATTTCTGATCACTATCCCTATTCTCCACTCCAGCTGAGAGGTTAGAGTGACTCTGGTGTGAACAGACCTGTATTTGGAGCCTGGCTTTGGGCGGTAAGCAAGTCAGCTAACTTTGTAGATCTCCATCTCCTCTTCTGTAAAACATTGGTTGGAAATACCTATCTCAGTGATTGCTTTACACATGTCTTTTGATTAATTTTTACAGTCCTACTTAGTAGGTGTTACTACCCCCATTTTATAGATTCTTACCATCTCGAGAAGGGTTCTGTGCTTAGCCTGACTCCAAATCAAAATGCTTTCCTATATTAAGCCAATCTCTTACTGAACACCAGACAAATTAAACACATATTAACAGAAGTAGAATGCATGGGTTTGCTCTTGGCTTTTCCCTCCCAAAAGACTCTTAGCTGAAATTCTGCCTTTAGCCAGGATATGCACATAAGTCTTGTGGATGTGTGAATGATGGCTTCACAGTGATCCCTCTGCCTCATGACTCTCAACTATCTCATGACACTTCATCAACAGAACCAGGGTTTCTAAGTATTCTAATCTTCAGAATGAGCTCTTAACACACGTATACACACATGCATGCATGCATGCATGCACACGCACAGGAATTTTGAGTCTGGCCAAGGGAATGTCCAGTTGGTGTATTCTAGTTGTTCAGAATTGTGGGAAGCTCTGGAGGCCACATAGGATTTTCCACTGGAGATATTTCTCCTCTCCTGATTTCTGGTTCACTGCAGAACTTAGAGCTGTGTGATGGTGGTGGGGGCAGGGGAAAAAGGCATCCTTCAATTGAGCAGTATTATTATCATTAGGGTTGTGTGTTCAGGAATGCTGGCATGAGCCAGATATTCCTTCTGTAGTGAGGTTCCTTCCCCCACAGGGACATACCTCGAGGTGAGAGCAAATGAGAAATAAGCACGCCACTTTCTTTTCAGCCAGGGCCCTTTCCTGCCAGTGCAGGGAGACTCTGGTAGACATGAAGGAGCCTGTGACTTAGGACACAAGTCTGTGTGAAACCGCTGACTCTTTCTAGACCTAAACCTGACCAATGGGAGACTTCACAGGTCAAAAGGATGATGATGTGGCCACACCCACCTTAAATAACATTAGCTCACGTTTGTGTAGTGTTTGAAGAGGGTCAGGGACTTCACATGCACCAACTCATTTAACCCTCACAGTATTCCTGTGAGTCAAACACTCTCATTATCCTCATTTTTAAAAGAGAAAACTAAGGCACACACCAAGAATTAGATGTCATTCACAACAAAGAGAGTTCCTGGATGGCATGGAGAGCTCCTGCCCACAGAACGTGGCCTAACCCCCATTCTGACTTAATCAGAAGAAAACTAAGGTTAGGGTTGAGTCAGAGGGCAGGAGGGCAAACTTCTCCTCCTCCTCCACTTGCTGGAATGACCAAGGTGAAACCATGATCACAGTCCATGATGCTGATGTCCTCAGGCTGGTGGGCTTCTCTCATGCCCGGAGGGGTGCAAGGATGAGCGTGGTCCCACTAGATCCCAAGAAGCAGCAGAGGCAACTTCTGAAAAATAAAATGAGTGGGCACCCCATCCCAATTGCTCCCCTTCCTGTGGCAGGGCTCCATTTGGCCCACCCAGCTTCTTACCCAAGCCGCATTCTGAAGGCACTGGCTCTCTCCATCGGGGTGAGGTCACCAGGCTTTGGGGTTACATGCAGCTGCTTCAGGCCTGTCACTTACTAGTCCCTAGTGACCTTGGGAAGGTTAATCTGTGAGGACCTCCATTTCCTCATTCTTAAAGTGGGGATAATCATACTTCCCGGCAAGGGTGCCAGAGGCTTAAGGGATGGCTGTCTGTAAAGCCCTTAGCACAGTGAAGCCCAGCCAGCTGCTGAAGTGTTGCTGATGGCATCTCAGCAGCCTTTCCAAGGGCACTTGTGCTCTAACTAAGGTCCCCTGAACACCAAAAGCCATTGGAGAATCCAATGATGCTGGTGGCAGATCTCCAGGATGCCAGCAGGCAGGGCACGTTGGGGGCAGGGCAATATCCCCAAATCTCTGATTCATTCAGCCAAGGGTAGAGTTTTCTGTTCACCTCGTCACTTGATGTTAAAGACTAACCACAGTCTGGTGATAACAGGGCACAGCTGGGAGCCAGACAGCTACTCCACAGGACTTTCTAATGATAACATAGCAAAGCATTTTGAAAAGAATTAAATGGTATCTCATTTAAAGATTTTAAAAACTTTTAGGTACTAAAAACAAACGGTTCAGGTCACTTCCAAATAGAATAACTGCTCAATAGCTTTTTATATAGGAAGAGAGTGCTGATTCCAGTAGAGAGAGGTTAGGTCGAACTCCCTAGCTTTGGCACAGGAAAATGATGTGGCAGAGGAGCTTCTCAAACTGATGTGTAGACTCACCTAGGGATCTCGTTAAGATGAAGACTCTGGGCTGGGTGCGGTGGCTCTCCCTCTAATCCCAGTACTTTGGGAGGATGAGGCGGGCAGATCACTTGAGGTTAGGAGTTCAAGACCAGCCTGGACATTATGGTGAAACCCTGTCTCTACTAAAAATACAAAAATTAGCCGGGTGTGGAGGTGCACCTGCAGTCCAGCCTGAAAGACAGAGCAAGAGACTCAGTCACACACACACACACAAAATGCAGATTTTGCTTCAGCAGGTCACATGTTGTGCCGAAGATTCTGCATTTCTAACAGGCTTCCAAATGGTGCTGGTCCACGGGCCACACTTTCGGAATCAGTGTGAAAGAAAAAGCTACTCTCTGCCCCGTGCGTATTTTGGTCTAAAAGGTCATTTGCTGCCGGCTCCTGCTTAGTGACACATAATCTCTGTTTGTACCTGTGTCCCTGAATTATCTTTCCTGTTCCCACAAGTGGCCTGAAAATGACCCCACAACTGGAGAAATCACCTGGCTGCCTCCTGCAGCCCTAACCCGAAGTTGTTTCAGGGAGAACATTAAGCCGCCTCCCAAGCTCGCCCTCTGCTGGTGAACAAGGGTCATTTTCTCCTAAACCCTCACCCAACCTTTCTTGCTGCACAAATGCTTTTTTTTTCTTTCCATGTAATACAGACAGAAAGTCTCATGACCTATTCCAGAGGTTTATTGCACTGTTGTAGATTTTGGAGAATGCTTCCACTCTGTTCCTTAAAGTACACCCCTCAGAGGAGGTAGATAAATGTTCTACCAACATTGTCTGGCAACTCACGATACTGTAAGTTTTCTGTGCTGCCTAAACATCCTCTTCTTGACTAAACTTTGTTCTCATCTCACCCCACACACTTTCTACAGTGGTGGCAAGACTTCATCTACTCACAGCTCGAATGCCGCAGGGTCGGGGGGAGTAATGATTTCCTTTGATCCAGGGTTGGAGGAGGAGGCAAAGTAAGCATGTCCCAGAGACAAAAGAACATGTAAGAGAAAGATAGGGAGATGGGGAGACTCCTACCACCATCATTCATTCATTAAAACATTTCTTCATCACCTACCATGTGCGAGACTTGGGACTGGGAGCCGAGAATTCTTAATCCCTGCACACGGAGAACCTAAGCCTAATAGAGGAAATAAGCATAATAGTGAATAGTTAGTGAATGTTTGCCATATGCCAAGGAGCATACATACATTATCTTATTTAATTTTATTTCATCCTCACAGCAATCCTGTGACCATCCTCATTGTATGAATGAGAAAACTGAGAGGCAGAGAAGCTAAGTCAGGCTTCTAGTTAATGAGGAAGTCAGTTGAAAAGAACAAGATTGAAGCCTGGCACAGTGGGATGTGCATGTAGTTCCAACTGCTCTGGAGGCTGAGGCAAGCGGATCACTTGAGTCCAGGAGTTCAAGACCGTAGCGCACTATAATTATGCCTGTGAGTAGCACTCACAGCCTGGGTATTAGAGTGAGACCTCACCTCTTACAAAATAAAATAGGCTAGGTGCGGTGGCTCACGCCTATAATCCCAGCACTTTGGGAGGCCGAGGTGGACAGATAACAAGGTCAAGAGATCAAGACCATTCTGGCTAACATGGTGTGAAACCCTGTGTCTACTAAAAATACAAAAATTAGCTGAATGTGGTGGTGGGTGCCTGTAGTCCCAACTACTCGAGAGGCTGAGGCAGGAGAATGGTTTAAACCCGGGAGGCAGAGGTTGCAGCGAGCTAAGATCCTGCCACTGCACTCCAGCCTGGCAACAGAGCAAGACTTCATCTCAAAAAAATAATAATAAAATAAAAACTGTAAAGAACAATTTGCTATTATCTCTCATGGTTCTGGAGGTTGAGGGGCTCAGCGGGCTGGTTCTCACTTGGGGTTCCTTATGCAATTGCAGTCAGACAGTGGCTGGGGGTGAAATGCATGTCTGCAGCCAGGGCTGGGATGTCTGAAACAGCTGGGGTCTGGTCGGGCATCTCTGTCCACATGACCTCTCCACGAGGCTAAGTTGGGCTTCCTCGCAGCCTGGCAGTCTCAGGATAGTTGGACATCTTAGATGGCAGCTGACTCCACACTACAGCAAGTGGTCCACAAAACCAGACAGAAACTGCAAAATTTCTTGAAACCTAGACTCTAAAAGCATGGAGCACCATTTCTGCTACCGTCTGTTGGTCCAAACAGTTATAGGTCAGATTCCAGGTGTTTTTGTGTCTCAGTGGGAAAGTAGCTGACAAGTAAAGCAAAGTAACAAATTGATGAAGCCCATCTTGGAGACAAGTCACGATACCAGGTTTTGACCAAAGCAGCCTGACTCAGCCTGTGCGCTCAACCTTTATGCTCCACTCAGCTGACAGTACCGGCACAGCCACAGTGCGCCACTGGTGATCCTGGTGGCTTGAGGGATCTCTGCCTCAGGTGGTCAGGGAAGGCTTCACAGTGGAGGAAACACCCCCTCGCACACGCATACTCCTTTCTCCTCAGTGCAGAAGACAGACAGCGCTGCAGTGGGTGGCAGACACCCCTGCATGGCGTGAGGGGACCTAAACGCTGAGGGCAAGAGACAGCCCTGAGGCAGCATGTGGAAAGGAGCTGACCTGGAGCGGGGGCCATGGAGTCCAGGCCCCCTGCACCACAGTATAATGCTGGGGCCTTGAGGGGAACCAGAAAGCCAAGAAAGGAAAAACCAGAGGCCCTGGGCCTTAGCAGAACGTAAGCAGAGTGAGGTTTCTGACTATGTCATGCTCTACTCCCACCCCCAGATTGGAGACCCACACTTGGTGATCTGCATGGACTGCTCGGCAGACACCATGACCAACCGCCTTCTCCAAAAGAGCCAGAGCAGCCCGCATGCGGATGACACTGCCAAGACCATCGCCAAGCGCCTGGAAGCCTACTACCGAGCGTCCATCCCCGTGATCGCCTACTACGAGACAAAAACACAGCTACACAAGGCGAGTCACTTCCCTTTCCCCCTCTGAAATGAGCCAGTTATCTTTTTCTTTTTTTCAAGGAAAAAGAAAAAGTTGAGAACATTTTAGTTAAGGGATCTGAGAATTAGAACTCTGTGCAGCTGTCGCACGAGGGCCCAAAGGACCAGCACACTGGCTCCCGCCTGGAACCCCAACACTTTGGGAGGTCAAGGCTGGTATATTGCTTGAACCCAGGAGTTCAAGGCCAGCCTAAGCAATATAGTGAGACCCTATCTCTACAAAACATTAGCTGGGCATGGTGGCACTAGCCTATAATCCCAGCTACTCAAGAGGCTGAGGTGGGAGGACTGCTTGAGCCCCAGAGGTGGAGGCTGTAGTGAGCTGAGACTGTGCCACTACACTCCAGCATGGGCAGCAGAGCAAGACCCTGTCTCAAAGAAAAAACAAGAAGAATTTGTACCAAAATATGAATCCCTTACTCTTCACTTTTATCTCAATAAAAATTAAATATCTGTCATCATATAGACCATAAAATGTTGGTCATATAATATTCACAGATGCCTTTATCGTTGCTGAAAACAACTCTTTCCAAAAAAAGAGAGGGAGAGAGGAAGGGAAGAAGGCAGGGAGGAGGGAGGCATGGATGAGACATAGGTTCTGCCAGTGACTCTGGACTATGAGATTGTTCACTAGAACTAAGAATCGGTGACTTCGAATTTCTAGAATTTTACATCATTCACAATTGGCACTTGGCCCCTTTGCCTCCATTTCTTGTGATAACTAATATTTTTAGAAGGAGCTGCATAGGGGGCCAGGAAAGCAGGTCATTAAGTAAAGCAATGAGGATAGTGTGAGGAAATAAGTCTATCAACTTAGTGATCATAAGCTCTCTGCTGAGTCACTGTCAATTTCATGAATTAGGGAAAAGTGCCCAGTCCTCATCCTCCCACTCATCCCATAACTATGTATCAGGCACCTGTAGTCCATCAATTGCACTAGTGGTTTGGATGCAAATAAGTAAGATTCTAGAGTCCTTGCAGAACTTAGGGTTTCAGTAGGAGAGAGAGACAAATGAGTGATCACACAACAGGGTCAAAGCAAACACAGTACGTGACGAGGGCCCTTTCCTCCAGTGAAAGGGGAAGGAAAGGATCCAGGAAGGTGGCATCAGGAGGACTCAGCTGAGTGTCTGGGTGGGGGTACACGCCATACCAGAGAAGCCCCAAGTGGAGAAGATCGGGAAAACCACGTAACTCCACGTGACTGTGACACAAAGTGCCAAGGAAAAGAGGAACGAGAGATGGGGATGGAGAGGCAAGCAAGGACTAGATCAAGATGGATCATATGTAGGAGCAAATAACTGCCCTGTGAGTGATGGGAACTACCAAAGGGGCAGGATTTCAATCTAGAAAGCTCACTCCATCATCCCCATGGAAAACGGATGCAAGAAGGTAAGGCTAGGAGACCACTGAGAGGCTGGAAACAAATCCATGAGGATGACGGACTGGGCTTTTAAGCGAGAATGAAATCCTGAGACTCAAATCAGAGAGGGGAGAGTGGGATCTCTTGCTGCTGACAGGATCAAGGACATCATCAATAGATAACAAACTTGTCTCTGAGGAAGCCACTTTACTGATTCCTCAGGGAAACCATCGCTAATGATTCTTATCTTCTAACTCCATGAATCGTCCGCTTTCCAGATTCCTAAGAAACACTTGGTATAGAAGTCTGAAAGATGCCTCTCCATTTAACTCAGGGTATCAAATATGTGGCATGAGAGCCATCATCCCCAACTTCCGCATCCATGGCAGCCATCGTAGATATATCCCAGCGCTGTTTCCTGCCGTACCCAGATGTGGCCTGAGAACACAGCACACCAGGCAGCTACTGCCAATTAATAGGACTTGATGTGCAACATGAGACTTGCTTGTTGTGCTTTATGTAACCTCTGGAGCCACATTTTTAAAAGAAAGACTTCAGTCTTTAAAAGCAGGGCCAAGTGCAGTGGCTCACACCTGTTATCCCAATTCTTTGGGAGGCCAAGACAGGAAAATTACTTGAGTCTAAAAGTTTCAAGACCAGCCTAGACAATATTTCGAGACCCCATATCTCCAAAAACAGCAAAAATTAGCTGGACGTAGTGGTGCGTGCCTGTGGCCTCAGTTACTTGGGAGGCTGAAATGGGAGGACTGCTTGAGCCTGGAAGGTCGAGCCTGCGATTTGCCATGATTGTACCTCTGCACTCCAGCCTGGGCAACAGAGCAAGACTGTCTCCCCACAAAAAGAGACTCAAAAACATAAAACAAAAAGTGCATTATGTAAGAGTAGTGTCTCAAGAATTCAAGGTGCAGAGGCATTTACTAAATTAGATTGTCTAGTGATTTCTACCTTTTGAGCAGCCTGGAACATACACAGAAGTTATCCAGATAAAAAGGTATTTCTTCCATCTGTGCATGGTGGCTCACGCCTGTAATCCCAGCACTTTGGGAGACCAAGGCAGGCTTATCATTTGAGGCTGGAGTTCAAGACTAGCCTGACCAATATGGTGAAACCCCATCTCTACTAAAAATACAAAGATTAGCCAGTGTGGTGGCACGCACCTGCAATCCCAGCTACTCCGGAGGCTGAGGCAGGAGAATTGCTTGAATCCAGGAGGTGGAGATTGCAGTGAGCCAAAATCATGCCACTTCACTCCAGCCTGGGTGACAGAGAGTTCCTGTGAAAGAAAGAAAGAAAGAGAAAGAAGGAAAGAAAGAAAGAGAGAGAGAAGGAGGGAGAGAGAGAGGGAGGGGGAGAGGGAAGGAAGGAGGGAAAGAAGGAAGGGTCTTCAACTTTTAAGATTTGTAAAGATGGGAAAATTCCTAAGTAATTCAGGATTTAACCACTTTTAGAGTTGGAAAATCCCTCTTAGCTTTCTATTGTATTATAACAACCTGAATTCCCCAAATTCACAAATGACTGCACATGGGTACAGGGTTGAGTTCTCAGGCAAACCTGATTTCTGGAATCTTCCTTAGAGCTTTCTAAGTTAATGGTGTCAAAAAGACCAGATTGCAACACATTTAAAGATCTTCATTGGCTTTCATTCATGAGTCTAGAATTGGGCAGACCTCAGGACCAGAAAATGTTTGAAGAATAAGCCACATGGTCAAGCAGTATTTATGTTTAGAAAACAGCAGTGAGAAACAGAGGTTAATTAGTTACAGCCTTACGTGAATAGGCTGGCCACCTACGACTGACTTAAGCTCAGCTGCTGTAACTACCCAAACTCAGCCATCTGTTACAGTGTACACCCACGTTGTTTGTTACATTTAGTATGGATGATTCCATGTTGGTTCAGTCTTTTGGGCCAGGAACAGGAGCCTAGTGGAAAAGAGGTTTACAGTCCCCTTTGGCTCATTTCTTCAATTTCCCCTGCATTTTGGAGATGCTGGCAGCTGGATCCATGGTGAGGTAACGTTATGATCCACTGCACAAATATGTCAAAGCTCTCCAGCCTGGACTGCAAAGCAGTGAGGGCTTCAGCCTTCAGGACTCCCAAAGAGCCTCAGGGAGGCTGCTTTGTCCCACTGCCTCTGCCCGGGGCCACCTCTACCCACACAGCTGCAAAGATGAAGAGTCCTCGCTACACACCTAGCATAGAGACAGTGTGCTGGCCCAGGAAGCTGAGATTTGTCTGTAGGTACCCTAAGCCAGCAGCTAGGGCGACAGAGGCGGGACCGCAGGAGAAGCTGGGGTGGAGTCGGGGGATAGGATTGTTTGCCACTGGAGACTGAGAAAGTCGCTGGGCCGTTCTGTTGCCTGGTCTCTGGGTTTTTGCCCAGTCCTCTTGTATCAGCTTAATCTCCCTCAGTTTTCTGAGTAACAGTTTGTGTCCTGCTCCTGTGACGCTCTTTGCACTGTTCGCCCCTGCTCCCTGTTGTTTTACTGGACCCAAGACAAGAGCTGCTCACCCAGGAGGACCTCTGGGTCACTTAAGGAGCTTTCTTAAAACTAGGTGGGGCTGGTGAATGTACTTCAAGAAAGCAAGTGAGACGAGTCAGCAGTTCTGTGAGATTTATTTAGGAATTAAAGCCACAGGGTGGGCCAACCCATGCAGCCCACAAATAGGCCACAAGCACCGCCCTCAGGCCTCTACCCAGCAATACTGACGGGGAACCCATCAGCTGATGCCCCACCGTCCCCCACCCCATGACAGTCAGCCCTTTTGGCCACCAGCTAGCTAAAGAAAGTGTAGCAAAATTTCAAAGGCAATTTTTAAAGCAAAGCAGAATGTATACAACCACTCCCTTATTCTTGATGTCATCATGATGCCATCCTGGTACAATAAAGTTAGGACCTCTTTGCTCAGGGTCTCCCTGGCTCTCCTAGCTATGGACAGGCAGCTGGGGTCATGGGAGGCTTTTTCCTTTGTTCCGTACTTTACTGAGTGCATATGGTATGTGTGGTTCAGTATAACACAGTCAACATGACAAAGTCCCTCACTGAAAAGAGAAAAACAGGCCAGGCACAGTGGCTGACACCTATAATCCCAGCCCTTTGGGAGGCCAAGGCGGGCAGATCACTTGAGGCCAGGAGTTTGAGACCAGCGTGGCAACACATGGCAAATCCCATCTCTACTAAAAATACAAAAATTAGCTGGACATGGAGGTGCGCATCTGTAATACCAGCTACTAGGGAGGCTGAGGCAGGAGAATTACTTGAACCCAGGAGGCAAAGGTTGCAGTAATCCAAGATCACGCCGCCACATTCCAGCCTGGTGACAAAGCAAAAAAAAAGAGGGAGAGGGAAACAGTATACAAGAAAATAAAGCAACCACTAAAAAGTTCTGTGGCTAAAACAAAACAGAATGTATTGTTGGGAGTGAGCATTGTGGGCAGCTGTTTGGAAAGTCTGAGGAGGTAGCATTTGAACTAGGACCTGACTGATATAAACATGGTTACCTGGGAGTCTTCCCTGTGAAGCAGATGAGGGACAAGGAACGCCCAGAGAGAAGGTCTGGTTGTGAGCCGAGAGAAGCCACAGAAATATCTATCTCAAGTGGCATAGACAGAATTATATCAAATGATATTTAAAGCCTCTTTGTTCCCTAAGTATACAAGTAACAACTACACGTTTCAAAAAGAAACAAACTAGGCTGGGCGCGGTGGCACACAACCGTAATCCCAGCACTTTGGGAGGCCGAGGCAGATGGACCATGAGGTCAAGAGATCGAGATCATCCTGGCTAACATGGTGAAACCCCATCTCTACTAAAAATACAAAAAGATTATCTGGTCATGGTGGCACACACCTGTAGTCTCAGCTACCCGGGAGGCTGAGGCAGGAGAATTGCTTGAACCCAGGAGGCGGAGGTTGCAGTGAGCCGAGATCGCCCCGCTGCACTCCAGCCGGGCACCTGGCGACAGAGCAAGACTCTGTCTCAAAAGAAAAAGAAAGAAAGAAAAGAAACAAACTAGAACATTTAAGAATATAAATTTAAACATTAAAATTATTCAGAATTTTTCCACCCAAAGATAATCACCAATGAACATTATATTTCCCTACATTATGTTTTCTTCCATTTTTTACATTTTGTTCATGGCATAACTAGTCCAGAAACACCCCAAGCCATAGATGAAGAGGGCCTGGTAACAGATGGTATCTGTCCCTGTGTTATTTGCTACTCTTAACTGATTAAAAAAATAAGAGAGGCCAGGCACAGGAGCTCATGCCTGTAATCCCAGCACTTTGGGAGGCTGAGACGGGTGGATCACGAGGTCAGGAGTTCAAGACCAGCCTGGCCAATATGGTGAAACCCAGTCTCTACTAAAAATACAAAACTTAGCCAGACGTGGTGGCGGGCACCTGTAATCCCAGCTACTCCAGAGGTTGAGGCAAGAGAATTGCTTGGACCTTGGAGGCAGAGGTTGCAGTGAGCTGAGACTGTGCCACTGCATTCCAGCCTGGGCGACAGAGCAAACTCCATCTCAAAAAATAATAATAATAATAAACATAAAAATATATTTAAAAATTTTTAAAAGACAGCCCAGTGACTCAGTAAACATGAGGTTTACAGATGCAGAAAATCAAGTTCCTTGGCAACTCTGCTTTTGTAGAGGAGATAATAAGCTTTTTTCCTCAGCGGTTCTGCTGCTGCAATGTCTCAACTTCTCCGTAGTTTAACCGTTTTCATTAGGTCCTGAAATGCAGTGGTCCTCATTGTTCTGATCACTGTGCTCTCAGGAGACGCCTACGAATTGAGTAAAGAGTGAGAAGTTTCTGCAGTGTCTGGCATTACTGAGGAAAGTGGAAGCAGAAGATACCATAAGGTCACATTTCACCCCTTCATTGCAAAAATCTACTGGGTAATTCACAACTGACTGGATTCCCAAGTTTGTAGTTGAACACAAGTAAAGGAAAACCCAGAATTACTTTTATACCTTGAATTCTCTGTACTAAATTCTTAATTTTGATTCTCCTTTCAGTTGGCTAAAGTGACTCAACTGATTTTTAGTTCCATTTCTCAGTGAGTATCTGAGAATGCCATTATGGCAGCTTCACACACAAATGACAGTTTCACTGATATAATTTAAGTCATAATAATTATTTTTCTACCAGAAGTCAGTAAGCATTGCTCTGTTGCTTTTTGTTTGCTTGTTTTGAGACAGGGTCTGTCTGTGTTGACCAGTCTGATTTGCAGTGGTGCAGTTACGGCTCACTGCAGCCTCGACTTCCCTGGGCCCAAGTAATCCTCCCACTTCAGACTCCCAAGTAGCTGGGACTACAGACACGAACCACTGGCAATAAGGAACAGTCTTACTTTTCAGAATTCTTGTAACTGTTCTCATTTTTGGGAGTCTTCACGAGTATTTTAGTAGGAAGCTGGGAAGTTGTAGTGGGGATGCTTGTCAGATTCCATGCAAAGTAGGAGTAGGGATAATGTAGGGAATATTTTTGACCTCTGGTTAGTTGAATCTGTAGGTGTAGAACTCGTGGATACAGAGAGTAGTATACATTTATGTGTGTATGTGAGTGTATACACACACACACACACACACACACACACACACACACAGGCATGCATCACTTAACAGTGGGAATCCAATCTGAGAAATGCATTGTTAGATAATTTTGTCATTGCGCAGACATCATAGAATGTACTCACAGAAACCTAGATAGTATAGCTTACTACAAACTACAGCCTGTCACCGTACTGAATACTGTGGCAGCTATAACACAATGGTAACTATCTGTGTATCTGAACATATCTAAATATGGAAAAGATACAGTAAAAATACAGTATAAAATATTTCAATGGTAAATTTGCTGTATAGGGCACTTCCCATGAATAGTGCTTTCTGGACTGGAAGCTACTCTGGGTGTCACTGAGAGAATGTGAGGGCCTAGGACATGACTGCACAGTGTGTAGACTTTATAAACACTGTATACTTAGGCTGCGCTAAATTTATAAAATATTTTTCTTTCTTCAATCATAAAGTAACTTTGGCTTACTATAACCTTGTTACTTTATAAGCGTTTAGAATCTTTTAACTTTTTGACTGTTACATAGAACTTAGCTTAAAACACAAACACACTAGATGTACAAAATACTTTTTCTTTATATCCTCATTCTATAAGGTTTTTTCCACTTTAAAAAACCTTTTTCTGCTTTTTAAGCTTTTGTTCTTAAAAACGGAGATGGAGACACACACGTCAGCATAGGCCTGCCTGCACAGGGTTAGAGTCACCACCTCACTGTCCACCTCCACAGCTCATCCCACTCGAGGGGCTTCAGGGGCAGTGACGGGCATGGAGCTATCATCTGCTTTGATAACAAGACCTTTATCTGGAGACCTTTTTCTGGACCTGCCTGAGGCTGTTTGACAGCTCTTTTTTAACAAGTAGAAAAAATGCACTCTGAAATAATAATTAAAAATATAGTATAGGAAATACATAAACCAGTAACATAGTCATTTATTGTCATTATCAAGCATTACGTACTTTACATAATTGTACATGCTATACTTTTTTTTTTTTGAGACAGAGTCTCGCACTGTTGCCCAGGCTGTAGTGCAGTGGCATAATCTCGGCTCACTGCAGACTCTGCCTACTGGATTCAAGCGATTCTCCTGCCTCAGCCTCCTGAGTGGTTGGGACTACAGGCACGTGCTACCACACCCAGCTAATTTTTTCGTATTTTAGTCGAGACAGGGTTTCACCATGTTGGCCAGGATGGTCTCGATCTCCTGACCTCATGACCTGCCTGCCTCAGCCTCCCAAAGTGCTGGGATTACAGGTGTGAGCCACTGCACCCGGCCTGTGCTATACTTTTACGACACTGGCAGCACAGTGGGTTTCTTTACACCAGCATCACCACAAACATGAGCAGTGCATTGCGCTATGGCATCATGACAGCTACCACATCACAAGGTGCTAGGAATTGTTCAGCTCCATTATAATCTTAGGAGACTGCTGTTGTATAAGTAGTCTGTCACTACCAAAACATTGTTACAGGTGCGTGACTATATATGCCCCCCCCCACACAACTAACTATGCTCCTCACAACCTTGCTTCCCTCAAATAACCAATCTGAACTGCTTATTGTGTATCTTTCCACCTTTCCTCCTCCTTTCCTCCCTTTCTTCCTCCTTCTCTTCTCTCTTTTTCTTCTTTCCCCAGCCTCTCATTCTTTCTCTCTGAAATCAGACTATTTACTATGGATGTACACACACAGCCATGGTGGGGTAGTGCTGATTTCATGAAAATACTGCCAACCTGTACACATTTCTGTGAAACATCTCCAGGTTAACACGTATCACAAGATTTTTTCTTTTTAATACTTAGATAATAAGCCATAATATAGATATTCTACAGTTTATTCAACCAGGATGTTTCTAGTTTAGTTGTTTCTGTCTACTACTAAGAACTATGCAGTGGAAAGATATGCTTAATTAGATTTTTTTTCTAGTAGGAGAGACTGCTGGGCTATTTTAAGCAGAGGATGATTTTTTTTAACCCATTCATTTCTACTTGCCTGGCTCTCCATGTTGCCCTAGGAAGCATTCTTTGAAGTATAAAAATGCTTTGGAATTTCCCAGCTCCTTGATGCTCAGCCTCTTTTATCAGTTTAAAGTTTGAAGCATTTAATCTGGACCTGCCTTGGTTGACGACTAGAAACCTAGATTTAGATATAGCTCTCCCTCCTGGGTGTGGTGAAGAGAAAGGTGTGCCTGAAGGAGAGAGTGACTTAGAGGAACCCTAAGGTTCTATCCTCTTTCTTGATAAATGAAGCATAAATCTTCCATCTGGCTCTGAGAGACTTAAGAGACTTTTTCTTTATGACTCTGCTTAAAATAATCTTCGCTCCACCCCCTTTCCTTCCTGATTGTCAGACTGTCACCGGATTCCCGTGAAGACCTGTTGATTCAGTGCAATACTTTTTGCACCCCTGTTGTCCTGCTGAAATGAGTTGCGCTTGCTGTGTGCATGTCTCCTCCCTAAACAAGCAGAAGAGAATTCCAGGCCTTTTTTACTCATCCGTACACATTCGTCATTTCTTCCTCTGTGGTTGCTGTAATCACATAGCAGATTTTGCCTTTGCCCATCTTAGAGCACCCCCTTCACTGAAGTCCACTTTAACTTAGAACCCCTCCCTGAGTCACTGACATGAATTCTACCAACAAAGAATTGGCGCTATTCTATGTAAGGTCTTTGACATGCTCAGCAGACATTTATTGGGCATCTCTAAGGTCCAAGGCATGCTGCTTAATGCTGGGAATTCATAGGAAAAAGACATTTGCCTGTAATCTCAGCACTTTGGGAGGCTGGGGTGAGTGGATCACTTGAGGTCAGGAGTTCGAGACCAGCCTGGCCAAAATGGTGAAACTCTGTCTCTACTAAAAATACAAAAATTAGATGGGCATGGTGGTGTGTGTCTGTAATCCCAGCTACTCAGGAGGCTGAGGCATGAGGATTGCTTGAAACCATGAGGCGGACCTAACAGTGATCTGAAGTCGCATACTGCACTCCAGCTGGGCGACAGAATGAGACTTTGTCTCCAAACAAAACAAAAAAGACACATGAAACTCTGCACTCTACCAAAGTGGTAGATGCCATGATAGGATTTACAGAATGCTCCAGGTCTTTGGGAGCACAGAGCTCAGGCCTGGAGAGGTAGATAAAGGCTTCAGAGGGAAGAGGACATTTGAGCTGGGTCCTGGAGGATGAAGAGAAACTCAGGCCAGATGGAGGAGAGGGAACAAAGCCACTGACACGTGAAAGAGCCAGGAATGCTGGCACCAGATGAAGTGCCAAATAGATGAATTAAAGTCGTGGCAGATGAGACTTAAAGAGCAAGATTGAAGCAAGCGGTGAAGGGCTTTGAAGCTATTCATTCATTCATTCCTCCTACAGTCAGTAAATTTGCTAGGTTGGTACTGTAGAAACATAATGTGAGCCACATGTAAAATTTAAATTTTTCTAATAGTCACATAAACAAAGAAAAGCAAAAAGAAACAGGTGAAATTAATTTAACTATATATTTTATTTAACCTAATATATCCTAATGTATCATTTCAACATGTAATCAATATAAAATTCTTTTTTTTTTTTTTTTTGAGACAGAGTCTCGCTCTGTCACCAGGCTGGAGTGCAGTGGCGTGATCTCAGCTCACTACAACCTCTGCCTCCTGGGTCCAAGTGATTCTCCTGCCTCAGCCTCCCAAGTAGCTAGGACTATAGGCACACACCACCATGCCCAGCTAATACTCGTATTTTTAGTGAGATGAGGTTTCATCATGTTGGCTAGTATGGTCTTGATCTCTTGACGTCGTGATCCATCCACCTCAGCCTCCCAAAGTGCTGGGATTATAGGTATGAGCCACCGTGCCCAGCCATAAAATTCTTAATGAAGTATTTTTACATCTTTTTTTATAAACTATGTCTTCAAAAGCTGGTACTTTACCTCAAATTTAGTTGCTAACTTTCCATCAAAAATATTGGAACTATATTTATATTTCATAAAATTTACAGTTGAAAGGTAGATTTCACATACCCAGGTTGCTCCAAATATAATTTTTAATTTTCAAAATAAGTGGGTCAACTACCAGTTTAAAATTTTAGATTAATTTTAATTAAACAGTATTAAAAATTCAGTTCCTTCCTTGTGCTAGTCAGATTTCAAGTGCCCAGAAACCACGTGTGGCTAGGGGTTATCATATTGCACAGTTCTACATGACCCAAGGGTGCTTGGACTGAATACTGAAAGTACTCAGTTCTAGGAAGGAAGCACTGAGTAATTTTAACAGGAAAGTGATTGAGCAGGTGTTTTAGAGAGGTCACTTTTAGAAAGGATAATTTTTGTTCATATCTGCTAAAAGATGTTACTCAAAACTTCAGACAGAATGGAGAGAAAGAAAAAAGGAAAAACAGTTACTTAAAACATTTAAGTGGACAAACTGCATGTACTATGGGAAGTCCTATTTATAGAGAAGCCATTCATGTGCTGATTATAAATCATCCTTATAGTTTTGCTGAAGTTTATCCTTAAATCTCTCTAAAGTCATGTATTTATAGTCCTCCTTCTTTCTTTGGCCTTGATAATGAGCAGAACTATGTGGCCTGACTGGGTATGTGAACTGGATGACTCCACATAAGCAGTCTTTTACATAACCCCAACTTTTGAAAAATGCATTTGCTGATTTTCCCCAGACCACACCCAGGCTCTTGCACGCTGAGGTCTGCCTTGCTGAGCCGCTGCTGTTATCCTCTGGCAGTGAGGGATGCTTGTGGTGTAAGACTGTATCTTGTTTAACAGGGGACAAGATTAGAAAAAGAAGGTGCTGGCACACAGACAGTGATCCTAAACCACTCTGTAACAGCTTGGCTTTGTCCCAGAGGCTCCACAGTGCCAATACATAAAAAAATAAAATGAGACTCAAGCCATGGTTTCAACCATGTGGGAAAATTCAGGAAAAACACAACTAGACATAAGCAATGCTTGGACCAGCCATTTTTTGATTTACAGATCCATGGAAAGAGTAGACAAAATGTGTAATTCAGGGCCGGGCACGGTGGCTCACGCCTGTAATCCCAGCACTTTGGGAGGCCGAGGTAGGTGGATCACAAGGTCAAGAGATCAAGACCATCCTGGTCAACATGGTGAAACCCCGTCTGTACTAAAAATACAAAAAATTAGCTGGGCATGGTGGCGCATGCCTGTTATCCCAGCTACTCAGTAGGCTGGGAAGCAGGAGAATTGCCTGAACCCAGGAGGTAGAAGTTGCGGTAAGCCGAGATCGTGGCATTGCACTCCAGCCTGGTAACAAGAGCGAAACTCCGTCTCAAAAAAAAAAAAAAAAAAAAAAAAAAAAAGTGTAATTTCTTTCCTCATTTAGTAATATGTTCTGTTGACTGCTGGGTAGAAATATTATCACTGACTGCTCTGCTTTTCCTTCAAGAAGTCAGGTAAAAACTCAAAAAATTTATTATTTCCTATTCACTTGCTTTTAGCTTTTTTTTTTTTGAGACAGAGTTCCACTCTGTTGCTCAGCTCACTGCAACCTCCACCTCCTGGGCTCAAGCAATTCTACTGCCTCGGCTTCCTGAGTAGCTGGAATTATAGGCATGTGCCACCACACCCGACTACTTTTTGTATTTTTAGTAGAGACATGGTTTCACCATGTTGGCCAGCCTGGTCTTGAACTCCTGACCTCAGGTGATTCCCCAACCTTGGCCTCTCAAACTACTGGGATTACAGGCATGAGCCATTGCACGTGGCCTGCTGTTAGCGTTTTAATAAAAGAATATTTTTGCTCTACCGGTCAGAACATCACTTACTGCGGGATTTTATATCTCATCTGAGACCAAAAATGGTAACTTCTTTTTTTAATGCTTATTTCTTTCTTAAAATTTTAACTTTTGTGGACACATAGTAGGTGTATATATTTATGGGGTAAATGAGATACTTCGATACAGGCATGCAGTGTGTAGTGATCACATCAGGGTGAATGGGGTATCTGTCACCTCAAGCATTTGTCCTTTTTTTTGTTATAGATAATCCAATTATAGTCTTGTAGTTATTTTTAAGTATACAATAAGTTATTGTTGACTAGAGTCACCCTTTTGAGCTATCAAATACTCGATAGCATTCATTCTGTCTACCTAAATGTTTGCATCCATTAGCCATCCCCACTTCCCCTTCTCCTTTCCCAGCCACTGGTAACGACCAATCTACTGTCTCCCTCCATGAGTTCAGTTGCTTTAATACTTACCTCTCAGAAATAAGTGAGAACATTCAAAGTCTGTCTTTCTGCACCTGGCTTATTTCACTTAACATGACCTCCAGATCCATACATGTTGTTGAAAATGACAGGATCTCATTCTTTCTCATAGCTGAATAGTACTCCATTGTGTATATGTACCACATCTTTTTTTGAGACATGATCTCATTCTGTCACCTCGGCTGGGGTACAGTTGTATGATCAACATCAGTGCAGCCTCAGCTTCCTGGGCTCAAGTGATCCTCCCATCCTCCCACCTCAGCCTTTTTTTTTTCCTTTTGAGATGGAGTTTTGCTCTTGTTGCCCAGACTGGAGTGCAACGGCTCTATCTCAGCTCACCGCAACCTCTGCCTCCCAGATTTAATCGATTCTCCTGTCTCAGCCTCCTGAGTAGCTGGGATTACAGGCATGTGCCACCATGCCCAGCTAATTTTTTGTATTTTTAGTAGAGATGCGGTTTCTCCATATTGGTCAGGCTGATCTCAAACTCCTGAACTCAGATGATACACCTGCCTCGGCCTCCCAAAGTACTGGGATTACAGGCGTGAGCCACTGTGCCAGCCTTTTTTTTTTTTTTCCCCAAGGAGCAGGGTCTTACCCTATTGCCCAGGTGGAGTGAGTGCAATAGCTCCATCACAGCTCATTTTAGCCTCAAACTCCTGGCCTCAAGCCATCTTTCAGCTCAGCCTCTCCAGGAGCTAGGACTGCAGGCATGTGCCTAGCGAATTTTTTTATTTTTGTAGACACTATATTTCCCAGGCTGGTCTCGAGCTGCTGGGCTGAAGCAATCCTCCTACCTCAGCCTCCCAAACCATGGAGAGCTGCTTACCAGCATGAGCCACTCCATCCAGCTGGTAAATTTTTGAAGTCAGAAGCAAATCTATTTACCTAGTTTCTAACTAAATTAAATACATTAAGACCTCATACATTCTGACTTTGCTGACTCAGAATTACAGATCTTTTGGAGAAAGGTCATGATGAAACTTACTTTTGAATATTCATGATAAAAGAGAGTTACTATAAAGTAATATTATAATCATTGATTATAGAGCAAACACACCCTACTTGGAAGACATATTACTTTCAAGTTTGCACAATTACTGAGGAAGTCTCATTCACACAAAACAACTGGTAAGCTGATTGTGCAGGATTCTTCTCTGTTTGCTAAGGACATTAAACACCAGCACCTTATAAGCTAACTGGCTTAAATTTGCTAAAACTCTTAAGCACCAAGAAAAGTTCCTGTAACTTTGAAAGCATTTAGTAATTGATTCTTTTCCATTTCCTTTGAGTTGCAGGTATATACAGAAAGATAAATACCGTTTATTCTCTTCAAATACTCTCCACATGGGAATTAGATAAGGGTGATCTACTTTGAGACTTAATTGAGGTAACCTAATCTGTAGAACCAAAGCAGAAATGTGAAGAGTAGACTAAAGGCTTTGTTCCCACCCAGTTCAACTGGGCAGATCACAAGGTCAGGAGTTCGAGACCAGCCTGGCCAACACGGTGAAACCCCATCTCTACTAAAAATACAAAAATTAGCTGGGCATGGTGGCACATGCCTGTAATCCCAGCTACTCGGGAGGCTGAAGCAGGAGACTTCCTTGAACCTGCAAAGTAGAGGTTGCAGTGAACTGAGATCACACCATTGCACTCCAGCCTGGGCAACAAGAGCAAAATTCTGTCTCAAAAAAAAAAAAAAATGCACTTCAGGAATCCAGGCCTTTCCCACCAAACACACACTCCCCCCCGCCCCCCCCCTCCCCCCCCAACCCCGCTCCCTCTCCCTCTCTCTCCCTCTCCCCTCTCCCTCCTCTCCCCCTCTCCCTCTCTCCCTTTTTATAAGAAAATAGAAATTGCCTCACCACCTTTATTCTCAAAACTAGGCATCTTGGTCCTAAGGAGGATCCCAGATAAATTCACAGATTTTTCTACTCACCCAAGTAGATGGGCTTTTCCCATCTAGGAAGCCTTATTATTTCATTTTGTCTTTAAACCTACCCACATCTTTGGACTCCACAGGGGCAAGCACTACAGCACATGACTCTGACTGGGTGGCAGTAAACAGGTCTTTAAATTTCATTAATTAATAAATCTCCATATTTAAGCCACAAAACAAAATGAGAAGGGAAGTTTGGGATGGAAAGAGGTGAGCAGTGGTCCCAGAGCTCTCAGTGGACCCAGCTCTCTCCAAAACATCAGCTCTGGCCTGATTGACAGAAAATAACTAGCACTGCCCTGGAGGCGCTGTCTGCTGAAACCAAGTTGCCTGGTTTTCAGAAGGCAGAATCCCTCCCCTTCCATAAAGCCCAGACTGCAGAAAATGGACACCAAGCACATGCGCCTTCCACCACAACAGCTCATTTCTACGAAGAAAGGGAGAGCAAATGTGGGAATAGAGGGTACATTCTTTTGTTTACCTTTTTAATTCTTTGCCTTTTTTCCTAGACCCCAGCATGGGGATGCTATGCTGAGTAATGATCTTGTGCTTACGGAGCTTGCTGTCTAGCTGGACATTGACAAAGATTCTCTGCTGACCAAACTTTAGTCAGACTCTTGAACCTTTTCCTAGGTCCATCTGTGCACTTCCTTGTAAAACCCAGTTTTAGCAAAGAACTCTGATAAATCAGTTTAGCCAAATCCCCTACCCTCAGTTGGGGTCTGTATCCTCCATCATCCCCAGGTGCTGTCTGATCATGTTGGTCTGTCTTTAGCAATGGTCCTTTTAAGTCATTGTCTCCAGAATTTTCCGTACTTCTGATATTATTACCTCTTACTGATTTTCCATCCACTGACTCCCACCATCCTGCTCCTTGATTATAAATTCCCACTTGCCCACGTAGTATTCAGAGTTGAGTCCCATCCCTCCCCGCCCACTGCAAAGCTCTGTTGCCATAGTCCCTATACCTATGGTAATGATCCCCAGTAAGTCTCCCTTCCCATGCTTTAACAGGAATCATTGAACATTTTTTTAAACAACATACAAATATTTGGGTTAAGGCTGGGTTTTCTCTGGGCAAGTAGTGAAAAGTTAACTATTGCAGTGATTTGCAATGAGTAAATGTCCACTGTGATAGTAAGAGGGGAAGGTAATACAGACAGGGCCTTTAGTTCACTGTGATGGTAAGAGGGGAAGGTAATACAGACAGGGCCTTTAGTTCACTGTGATGGTAAGAGGGGAAGGTAATACAGACAGGGCCTTTAGTTCACTGTGATAGTAACAGGCAGAAGGTAATAGAGTACATTCAATTGTTGTTGTAATGAACAAATGTGTTTTTATTAGAGTTTAATAAAACTCGGGCATTATGTTCAATGAACAAGTTATGAATTATGAAATAGAAATTAATAATGTGTTCTTGGCCAGGCACAGTGGCTCACACAATCTCAGTAGTTTGGGAGGCTGAGGTGGGAGGATGGCTTGAGGTCAGGAGTTCAAGCCCAGTCTTGGCAACATAGCAAGGCCCCCATCTCTACAAAAACATACAGAAAATTAGCTGGGTGTGGTGGCAAACACCTATAGTGTCAGTTACTTCGGAGGCTGAGGCAGGAGGACTGCTTGAGCCTAGGAGTTCAAGGTCACAGTGAGCCATGATCTCGCTACTGCACTCTAGCCTAGGTGCGAGAGTCAGACCTTACCTCTTAAAAAAAATAAAAGGTGTTCCTTAAAAAAATTGTATATTAATAGCATTAAAAGATACATTATGAGCATTAGAAACATAGCTATGGCTTTCTTACGGATAGAAGAGAAATTTAGAAAATCATATATAAAGTTGGGAATGTTAGGTCGTATTGCTTGCAGAAGATGGATTGGAGGAGAGAAATCTTTCAGGGCCAAGGAGCCTAAATAGAACATACTAAGTCAGTTAAATGCCAGGAGTTGGTAGAATTCAGCAAGAGGCTGGAGAACAGATAAATAATGAGGAAGATGCTGCAAAATATCTTGTGAGGACAAGAAAGGGCCTAGAACACAGTTGGGGTTTGTGCAGATGAAGCAGAGGGCATACCCAAGGCTAAAGTCCCACTATGTATGCGTGTTCCTCAGTTAGGTGGGGGATTGTAGTGAGAAAATTCACGTGCATTTGAAGTAGAAGGTCACTCGAGGTCATTCCCTAGGCTAATTATCTTCCTCTTCTGGGGAAGATCTGGGGCTGATTTGGGGAAGTGTTGGTGCCAAAGTTGAAAAATTAGATCACTAGCGTGAAGAACTTACACCATGCACAAAAGGGTTGTATTTGAGTCTTTGTGCTCATGGAACTTCTCGGGGACCAGTGACATACCTGATGTATTTCCCACTGATACAGTCATGGACAGTGTAAATAATAAATCAAGTCTTTGTGGATTTATACCTTCTTACCCATCTCTGATGCAGGGGAGGAAACCTGAGAAGGGGCAGGAATGTGTTAGCAACCCCTTCCTTTCCTCCCTCCTCCTGGGGTTTGATAAGGTGAGGTCAGGTGACTATATAGCAGGGCTGTGGGCAGAAATAGATTTGCTGAAAAGAGATGAGAAAGGCAGATATCCCAAATGCAGCGTAGCATTATTCAGCAATAAAAAGGAATGAAGTATTGATATCCACTACAACATCAATGAATCTTTAAAATATTATGCTAAGAAATCAGTCACGAAAGACCACATATTGTGTGATTCCATTGGTATAAAATGTCCTGAATAGGCAAATCTATGGAGGCATCTCATTCCAACCTATTTTTCCAGCTTCCTCTTTTTCTCTGCCTGCCCCATCACCCCATGCAGCATTTGATCTGTCCTCAACACTTCCCTGAAAAATCTAGGTGCTCTAAGATCTCTACACCTTTGCCACCTTTATTATCTTCCAGTACATGTCTGTTCTTCTAGGCTCAGCTTAACTGGCAACACCAGTCTAAACTGGGCAATCCTGACGCCTGCTGAGAGGAGCTCGTCCCCACTGTAAGGTGAACTCATTTGGAATAGCAAAGAATATCCAGGATGCAACCAGACCTGGAGGTTATCTAGTCCTAGTTCAGTCCCTTCGTATGACAGAGGAGGAAACTGAGGCCCTGAGAGGATGAATGGCTTGACCAAGTCCTGAAGCACACTGAGGACAATCCCCGGTCCTCCTCATACAGGGCTTTGTCTTGCACTTCAACCTTTTTGCAGTTATTTTTGACAGAACAAATATTTATCAAATATTTGCTATGTACCCATGTTTTATTATGTCAGCCCATTCCTTAAAAGCTCTTACATGGGCTGGGCACAGTGGCTCCCACCTGTAATCCCAGGACTTTGGGAGGCTGAGCCAGGTAGATCACTTGAGGCCAGGAGTTCAAGATCAGCCTGGCCAACATGGTGAAACCGCATCTCTGCTAAAAAGACAAAATTGGCCAGGCGTGGTGGTGCACACCTATAATCACAGATATTCGGGAGGCTGAGGCAGACTTGCTTGAACTTGGGAGGCAGAGGTTGCAGTGAGCCAAGGTCGCACCACTGCACTCCATCCTGGGCAGCAGAGCAAGACCCTGTTTTAAAAAACAAAAAAAACCCCACAATTCTTACATGGTTCCTCATTATTGTCATACAGTAGGGTACATAAGCCTCTTCGTACTCCAGCCTGTCCCTACAATTCCAGCTTCACTCCTTGCTACTCCCCGCATATCTGGCCATACACCATTTTGAACTGGCCAGCATAGCGTAATGTAGTCAACACATGCAAAGACTTGGGAGGCAAAGGCCTGGCTGTGAACCAGGTCTCTCCACTTAGCCACATTCATCTTTCAGAACCCCCATTTCATCAGCTGTAAAACTGGGATAACAATACTTCTAAGATCATTCATTGATAGGATGACTTTGGTTATTTAAAAAGCATTTCTGTGCCATTAGTGGTACTGTTTATCATTTTACATGATGACAACTATTACTTTCCTCAGAAAGCTCCTCTGCCCTCCCAGCATTATGGAAGATGCCCCTTTAGCTCCTGTGCTTACCTCCTAACAGTGTAAATTTCTGTTAAATGTTCATCTCCACCACTGAGCGTAAGCTTTTGGAACACAGGACCATTGTTTCTTGTTCAGCTTGACAACTCCAAAACATTGATGATAACCAGGAAAGGAAAAGGAGGAAGAAGGGAAGCAATAAGTAAGGTGCTGTGAGGGGCATGAACATGACAAAGGCAGAGCCCTGCCCTCCAGATGTCAGATCTCCAGCTGGACAGACAATCTGCAGATTGCTATATTTGATTCCTGTAAGGATAAAGTATATTTATGACACGGAAAAAGAACTTTAAAAAAACTTTTTATTTTTTCCTTATCGTGAGCTATATCATACCTACAGGAATGCATAAAAGTAGTATATACAGTTTGAGGAATAAAATTAACACTTAAAGCACCATGCAAGACGAGAAGTGAGAGAGAATTGCAGAAGCTCCATCCTCCCCCAGAAATCTCCCGTCACAGCTTCTTTCCTCTCCCCAAGAAGTAATCACTGTGCTGGCTTTTGTGATAACCATTTCCTTGCTTCTCTTTATGATTTAATCATCTACATATGAATCCCTATCCAATACAGCTTTGTTTTTGAACCTTACATAATCTGAACCATCCTGTATTCATACTCTCGAGACTGGCCTCCGTCCCTCAAGTTTGTGAAACTGATCCATATTGTTGAAGATATAGCTGTGGTTCTTTTTAATTACTGTAGTATTCTATGACTATGTCACAATTAATCCATCTACTGCTAATGGACATACAGATTTGTCCAGTTTGGGAATGACAAAGAGTGCTTCTATTAACATTGTTGTATCCATTTTCTCCAGTATCTAAACATGCAGCATTCTTTTTGTTGATGTTGTTGAGAATTCATTCTACCTCTGGAAGCAATGAAATCCCTAGGGGTAGAAAAATTGAAACTAGTTTGCACAAAGATGATTTTAAAAAGACAAGAGTCTCAAAATGTGTTTGAAAACTTTGTGTTTCTCCAAGTGTGCTCCACATAACAAAATCATGTAGAGAATTTGCTGAATATACAGATTACAGACCCAGCCCAAAACCACCAAACAAGACCCTCCGCAGATCCAGCCTGGAAACTATGTTTTAGATTCACTGCAAAATTGAGCAAAGATTTCCCACATACTAGTCACACTTCTCTAAAAATCTACTCTACCTACTCATCCCTCCCTGCCCGCTAACGCATCGACCACTGATCTTTTTAAAACTGTCTCCAGTTTTGACTTCTCTAGAATGTCACATAATTGTAACCATACAATATGTACCCTCTTCAGAGGAGCTTGTATCACTTAGTAATATATATTTAAGTTTAGCACTGAATAATACTCCCCAGTCTGTCTGGATATGCCAGTTTATCTAACCATTAAAATACTGAAGAGCATACTGGGTGCTTCCAAATTTTGTCAATTATGCATGAAGTTGCTGTCAACATCCGTATGCAGGTTTTTGGGCAGATGTTGAGTTTTCAGCTCATTTGGGTAAACACCAAGAAGTGCAATAAAACATCTTGTAAGAGTATGTTTAGCTTAAGAAACTGCAGTTTCTGAAGTAGGTGTACCATTTTATGTTCCCACAAGCAATGAATGAGTCCCTGTTGCTCCATGTCCTCACCAGCGTTCGGCCATGCCGGTGCTTTGGATTTTGGCTATTCTGATAGATGTGTAGTGGTACTTCATTGTTGTTTTAATTGAGACGCCTTATTTTCAAACCACTACTCTTCACTTTTTCTTTTTGGAGGTCTTGTGTTTTAAAATTTTGAGAGCAAATTATAAGCAAGTGATCTTTCATTATTAAGCATGATTTTATTTACACATACTTCAGACTAACTCTTTTTTTTCCTTTTAAATATAGATAAATGCAGAGGGAATGCCAGAAGATGTTTTTCTTCAACTCTGCGCAGCTATTGACTCTATTTTCTGAAGGCGAAAATGCACGTTTGTTAAAGTGGAAACAGATAAAAACATTAAAAATTTCATTCCTTTCAATGTTTCAAGTTAAACCTTTTGTGTTCCCCCTCCCAAATCCTGACAGCACTGTTTACTTCCCAGCTAGACCTGTGTGAGGTGTCTGGAAATCATGCATGGTGTATTTGGGATTATCAAGCTCTTCTCCATACTTCAGACAGACAACTGTCTGTGCTCACAGCACGCACCCTTTGTATCATGCAGGCCACGCTCAGAGCTAGTCAGTACGTGAACAATGGTGCCGTGCCAGTTGGTGTCCATTGTGATCAAGCAGGCCTTTCTAGAGCCTGATCATCTGGTTCTCATGAAGCATCCCTCACTCCCAGTCACACCTTCCTCTCCCCGAGATCTATATACTGTTCCCCGATGAAGGCCCCTGGCACAGGGGATAGGCCTGGGCATTTTCTTTGGTGTCTGTTTCCTCAACTCTCATCCACTCGTGGCTCAGAGCTATAAGGTAGGATTACACAATGCTTTGTACATGATATAGAGGCATCAAGCAAGTAAAATTTGATGATAGAAATTTTAAAATATGAAATTGCATAGCTTTTCCAAGATGGCAAAACCCAGGTTAGTCATCATCAGTAACATTCGCTATTATTTTTAAGAAAGTCAGAATACTGTCATCATGGCTAAGAGAACAAATCTGTTAAGTTGGGGAACCTAGTCTCTTCTTTACATGGTGACGCATTTCAGCAATTATAAATTATCAACGACCAAAATAAATGTAAAGCATTAAGAGATTTGCTATTTCATTCACTGGACACATATCAAATTCTAATTTTGATTTTAAATGGTCACCCATTTATTTGTTGGCAAGCAAGTAAAAAATACCATGACAAAACTGGTGTGGGTGGGAGGGGCGTGTCGGTAAGTGGTGTGTTCAGTGTTGTGTTTGTTTTATATGGGCCCTTTCCAGGAGTTTGCAAACTTTGTCATACCCATCTGCAAAACTGTGTTTCCCTGCATTACCAGTGTAGTTTGGGTCCTCTTTTGTGCTATCAGTTGTCAAATCAGAGCTTCTTATATATTCTACTGGAATAACTGCATCTTCCACTCAGTCACTACAAAAAAATAACAGTTTCGGTTTGCATGTTTTTTTTTTCTTCAGTGGTTGTGTAGATAAGGATCCATTTCTGGGTAGAACTGTATTTTTTAAGTCATCTTTTTCTTGAAATGGATTATGTACAAATAAAATAAATGAAGACAGGATAACTCTTTTTCTATTTATTTGTAACTTCACATCATTCTGGAAAGCATTTGAAGACTTATTCCAAACAGAATTAGAAGCAAACACAGAAATAGTCAAGATTTACGATATACTTATATGGTTTTAATTTTAGCTATAGATCAGTTCTGCATTATTACAGAGAGAACTCAATGTATTCATGATACATGGGAATTTTCATATTTCCTTTTTTCTCTAGCACTCATTCTGAAAAAGAAATGTCAGTGTTTGTTTGCTAAAGAAGATATTAAATTTCTTTGGTTACAATTATGCCTCTATTAACAAAAAGGGGCATGTTCCCACAACTCAAACAGTTTTCAAATACTTTATTACTACCCCAAGTTGTCACACTCTCTGTCGAGGAGCACAAGTACTTGAGCAAACTGGGGAAAAAACGTTACAGGAGGAAAATCATCAGTTGCGCCAGAAAACACAGAATGACTCCTGTAGGGATTGACACTCTTGAAACACACACACATACTGGAAAACAGTCCATGCCCAGCACAGCTCTGACAGCACAGGGCAGAAAGGTCCGGCCATGGCTTTTATGGCTGTCTTGAAATGGCTTTGCCCCTGAAGAGTGTCTGGAAGTACACATCAACTCTTCTCTAGAACACGTTACTGATTCGAATGACTTGAAATGATCTCACTACTTTAAAGATTTTAATACTGAAAAGACCTGAGAGGTCTCTGTCTAGCAAAAGACTTGTGTTGTATGTAGAACACATCAGAACATAATCTAAACTCCTTTACAATGATCTGTATTCAAGGCCATATCTGAGCTGGCCTGTGCCCTCTTTGACACCATCAGCTACTACTCTCCTCTTGCTCATTTGGCTTAAGCTACACTGGCCATCCTAATGTTGCTCCAACAAGCCAAGCTCTTTAATGGCTCAGGGCCCGTGCATTATTCATGCAGCAATTTCCCTCATTCCATTCTGGTTTCTATTTATTTGAACTTACCCTGGCCAATAGAGGATTTCTTTGCTTATTCCATCTAAAATGGCAGACTATTCCCCATTCTCCCATAATTAGTTTTCTCTGAGCCTGATATATCTTCAAAGTATTTATCCCTGCCTCAAATTAGGTAATAGTTTTTATTTACTTACTTATTACTGGTCTTCTGCATTAGATTACAATCTCCATAAGGACACGGCTTGGTATCTCCAGTCCCACACACAGTAATTAATATTGAGAGCTAACATAATTACCATACTCTCTGCACGTCCAGTTTTCTCATGTATACAATGGAGAACATAATAGTAATGAACCTCATAGAAGAACTGTGAGGATTAAACAAAAGTTAGTAAGACACATAGATCATTTACTAGCTCCTAATGTACAATGAAAGGTAGCTCTTTGTCAACACTTGAGTGTTTCACTTCCACAACTGGGACTAAAACCCAGACTTTCCACTCCAGTGTCCTTTCCATTACATCATCATTTTTTTTGCGAGAGTGTTCTCCCCTAGGCTATTATGCAGTGGCACAATCTATTACAGCCTCAACTTTCCAAGTTCAGGTAATCCCCCACGTCAGCCTCCCAAGTAGCTGAGACTACAGGCACATGCCACCATGTCCAGCTAATTTTTTTTGTATTTTTAGTAAAGACAGGGTTGCCATGTTACCCAGACTGGTCTCAAACTCTTGGGCTCAAGCAATCCACCCGCCTTGGCCTCCCAAAGTGCAGGAATAACAGGTGTGAGTCACCGTGCCCAGCTCTGTTATATCACTCTTAAAAACATGGTAGAGAATCAAGATACACAGCCTAACTAGGGTCCCATAAAGAACCAAAACCACCTCTGCCAACAGGGTTGCACCACAGCCTTCAGGCAAGATAGAATCCAATACCCCTCTCCTCTCACAGCACTGTCAAGACGACCTTCTGAGGCAAGCCCTCTAAGGCTCTCACAGACACACTCAGTCATAGGTGGTATCTCTTAAGTTCCTGGAGGAAAAATTGTAAACTCGCCAAAATGTTGGTCATACAACCAACACATATTTATTGACAATTTTTTAAATGCCAGGCCCCAGAGATACAGACAGGCATGAATGTTCTCTGTTCTCATGGAGCTAAATGTATAATAACTCTGAAAAATCTAGTTAACTAGCTACATGAACTGTAGGAAAAAAAGTTATATATTTTCTTCTGGGATCATATAAACAGAAGCACATTTTTCATCAAGAAATAAAAACAAACAGTTTACAGCCTAAACAATGCCTTCATAAGCTTATAGAAAAACCTACTGAAATCTGAAGACTTCCAATCCCATCCAGTGTATCTATAGATGACTAACAGGCTTCAAACTTCATTATCCACAGTAAGAAATAGTTTTATATAGCACACAATACTTATATTTATGATTGAAAAAGACATTTCACAAAACAATATTTATCTTTATTACATGTGATATACCATTTTCTCTATTTCTTTCTTTTTTTTTTTAATGTTCCTCATACCTCAGTAAATTGTTGTGTTCTGTGATTTAATTTAAACAAAAAGGGGAAAGGGGGAAAATAGACAAGGCATACTATTAAGTTAAGTGAGAAGCACCCAACATGCATAGAAGAAAATCCTACCTGAGGCAGGAAACACAAGCCTTTGTCCCAGCTTTGCCTGAGTCTTTGCAAGCCTGGACATATGGTGAGGTGTGTACTCTTAGGAAGCACACCCCATCAGGAAAACAGAATGTAAGGCAACATCTGCACACTTCCGCTCCTAACACCTACTGTTGCCTGACACAAGGGCAAATTTCCTGCTCAGGAAGCAGGGTAGCAAGGCAGACGCTGACTCTGAAGTAATCTGTCTAGGTTAAAGTCCAAGCATCACTGCTTTACTAGGTATATGACCTTGGGCAGGTTGGTTAACTTTTCTCTGGCTAGATTTCCTCATATGACAACAGGATAATAAATGAACCTGCCTCATAGGGTTGTTGAGAATTAAATTGTTAGTTGTTATTTGCTCGCCTGGCACATAGTAAACACTGTAGCAGTGTTTTCTATTATTATTATGCATCACACCAAAGGAAACTTCCTCTGCCTAAACCTTACAGCAATGGTTTTAGATATCATTAAATGTTTCTTCAGTTGTGCATAACTTGAGCACAATATATCAGGAAATAGATCTTATCTACTGAATACCACTGAATAAGCAATGCTTTAGCAAGCAGGTCTTTTACAGTCTGTGTTAGCTTACAGTCAATAACTCTGTGTAGCAGATGGGGGCCTACTGGCAAATGACAGCTCTGCCCATTATTCTTGCAACTCTCAAAACAACAACAAAACACTACCTGCTATTATCCGAACTTCAGGGCCTTTTAAAGCCATGGGGGCTATTTTCCTGGAGCTGAAAAATGCAAAGCAAACACATCATCTGCTTAAGCAGAAAATCCTCTTTATTACTCAAAAATCTCAAAAACTGTTTGCCCTTGAAAATGCATTCAAGTGGCTTGTCTATTCCATTTATATAACGATTGTATCACTCACAGCCCTCTTCCAAAGCAAACATCATACTTAATGGAATTTTTTAATGGATCTGAATGGCTTTCCAAAACTAATTGGTATTTATTTCTACACAAACATAGAAGTTACCATCAAGTGTTACTATCTTACCTAATTAACAAGTTGAAGGCAGATCTTCTGGCACATTCACAAAACATTTAATATAAAAATGCCCAGAATGCTAATAATTCCCCTCTTCATCCCACTAATAATTCCAGGGTGAGAAGTTAAGCTCAAGTCCATTTACTTTTCCTTCTGTTATGATATATTATATCTATATCATCAGTGATCCT